AGGGAGGGAGGGAGGGAGAGAGAGAGAGAGAGAGAGAGAGAGGGGGAGAGAGAGAGAGAGAGAGAGAGAGAGAGAGAGAGAGAGAGAGAGAGAGAGAGAGAGGGGCGAACGGCCGCCTGCGCGAGCGTCGCCTCGCGCCGCGCCGCCGCCGCCGCGCAGCGCTGCTGCCGCGAGGCGAGCAGCTTGGCAAGGGAGGCCTCCGCCTCCGGCGAGGGCGGTGCGTCGCCGCACTGGAACGAGACGTGGTCGACCACCTGTGGACATGTGCATGCACATGTTGTCACTTATGTGAATGAGGTGACCCTCGCGACACTCCACGTCTAGACGACAGGAGCCGGCACGGCATTCAGAGTGCAAGGCCCGGTGCGCGTGGTGAGCGGTGTGTGTGTGTGTGTGTGTGTGTGTGTGCGCGCGCGCGTGTGTGTGTGTGTGTGTGTGTGTGTGTGTGTGTGTGTGTGTGTGTGTGTGTGTGTGTGTGTGTGTGTGTGTGTGTGTGTGTGTGTGTGTGTGAGTGTGTGTGCGTGTGAGTGAGTGAGAGAGAGAGAGTGTGTGTGTGTGTGTGTGTGTGATGACCACCTTGCCGGCGGCGACGCGGTGTCGCTGGATGTACTCGGAGAAGGTGCTGCCGCGCGTGCCTGTCCATTGCCCACCATCTCTGTCTGCATCACACCGTGCTACAGATGTGCCGGGTGCGCCGTCCGGCTCGGGGGGGTGGGGGTGGGGAAGGGGAACCACCGGGGTCCCCGTGAAGAGTGGGGGGGTACCCCCGTCTCCGCCGCAGTCTCAACCCTGTCAGTGTGGAGGGGGGTGTGCGGGTTCGCTATTCACAGGGGTGTGCGGGCTCGCTATTCACAGGGGTGTGCGGGCTCGCTATTCACAGGGGTGTGCGGGCTCGCTATTCACAGGGGCGTGCGGGTTCGCTATTCACAGGGGTGTGCGGGTTCGCTATTCACAGGGGTGTGTACTTCACAGGGGGGCCCCGGCCCAAGAGACAGGAGTCAACCAGCCGAGTCAACCAGCCGAGTGCGTATGCCAGGAGGACGGTGAGCGTGTGTCATGGCGCGCCGACAAAGAAGTCGGCGCACACGCACGCCCACAGGTCGGCCAGCGCGAGGGCGACGGCGTCCTCGCCCTCCCGCCCACTCTCTGCGACCTTTAATTGATAATGAGGAGCTGATTAATAGCCCTCGCCCTACCGCGCACTCTCTCCGCAGTCTGCAGGACCGCCTCTGCCCGCCGCGGCAGCGAGGAGAGCGCCGCCAGCTCCGCGGCGTCGGTGGCGTCGGTGGCAAGGAGCCTATGGGAGGGAGGGAGGGAGGGATTGCGCAGAGTCTTCAGAGCACCGCGTGGAGACGAGGGGGGGGGCGGAGACGGCGAATACAGCCGAATGCCGCCGAATACGGCGGGAGGCAGCGGAGTCCGTGTCCTCCCGAGCGCTGGTCGGGTTCTGCTTCCAGGGCTTGGCGCCATCATACTTTCGGTTTCGCGGCGCCGTGTTTTTCTTCTTTTCTGCGTCTAGGGCGACGAGCCAGGAGGCCAGCTGCCGGCCCTCGAGCAGCGCGCCAATCTGCGACGCGACGCTGCCGATGGCGGGCCAGAGGCGAGGGTCGCCCGTGAGCTCGGCGAGCCTATCCGATCTCCACGGACCGTCCTTCAGCCATAGCAGAGGCGAGCGTCGCCCGTCCGCTCGGCTAGAGCCGCTGCAGGTCCGTCCGCCGCACATGCGTCTCGGGCAATCTCCAGCAATCTCGGGCAATCTCCAGTAATCGCGAGCCGCTGCAGGTCAGTCCGCCGCACATGCGTCTCGGGCAATCTCCAGCAATCTCGGGCAATCTCCAGTAATCGCGAGCCGCTGCAGGTCAGTCCGCCGCACATGCGCCGCCAGGCACGGCCGCCTACTCTCGGGCAATCTCCAGTGATCTCGGGAAATCAGCGCACATGCGCCGCCAGGCACGGCCGCCGAGCGGCGGCGAGGCAGCCCTCCGCCTTTGCGCGGATCCGCGGGCTCGGGCGCAGCGCCTGCAGCAGCAGCGCGCGCTCCCCCGCGTCGAGCAGCGAGGGCAGTGCGGCGGCGCAGAACGAGTGGTCGAGGGCGAGTACGCTCTGCGCCGCGTCGCCGAACGCCGCAGCGACTTCGCGGGCGCCCCGCAGGGGCTGCGGCAGCTCGAGCGACCGCTCGGCCTCGACGCCGCTCCCTACTCTCGGAGCGAACCTCTCTCACTCACACGCTGCGCCTCTCGAGCGGGCATCTCCTCCTCTCGGCGCCGCTGCCTACTCTCGGAGAATCTCTCTCTCCCTCCCTCTGCGACCCTCGAGCGACATCTCCTCCTCTCGGCGGCGCTGCCGGCCGCGATGCCGAGGCGGAGTCCGGCGGCGGCGTCGACCTCTCGCAGGTACTCGAGGTTGGCCAGCAGCGAGCGCAGCTCCGGGAAGAGCTCCCAGCCGCGGGCGTCGGCCCAGGCCGGATTGAAGCAAAGGTGGAGCCTCACCAGGGCCACTCCCTCCCCGTCGCCGCTCCCCGCCCGCGCGGCCGCAAACTGGTCGAGGGTGGCGCAGCGCACGATGCGGGAGAGCGGCGAGAGGTCAAAGTAGTCGGAGCCCTCCGAGAGCCACGGCTGGCCGTACTGGGCGCGCCAGCGAGGCAGCACGAGCGTGCGGCCAGTCGCGCGGGCGAGTGCCACCGCACACTCGAGGCACGCCAGCTGGTTGCACAGGCCGCCAAAAGGCTGGTAGATGAGGTAGCGCGCCTCAGTCCAGCTGCCCTCCCACTGCTGGCTCAGCCAGGGATAGGGTCGGCCGTCGCTCATTGACGAGAGCAGCGTGCTGTGAATTCTTTTTCTTGGCAGGGCCGCTCGCCGCGCTTTCTCTGGTGCCCGCGCCGCCAAGCTCTGCGGACGGGCCCTGTCGTGGACGAGCCCTTTCTCTTTTTGCTGTGCCTTTTGTGGTGCTAGTTCGTGCCAGTCTGCTAAGAAAGAAAGAAAGAAAACAGACAACCCAAGGGAGGGATGGGAGGACGGCACGCCGCCACCACACAGGGATTTTAAGGAGAGGTGTGTGGTGCGCTATCCGTCGCCCACCCTAGGGAGTCTGCCTCTTCCTATCTCTCTTCGCAGTCTCTCGCTGATTCTCGCTGCAACCAGTCTGCTGTGAGAGAGGCTTGTGCTCGTAGAATTCTCTTTTTGACCGCTCAGGGTGGCGTGAGTGAGTATTACACACACACACACACTCAGGGTGGCGGCACACTCGCGGGTTGGGGCGCCTCGTCGTGCCGCTCGTCGTCGTCGTGTGACGCACGGCCGGGCCCGAAATCGCTCACATGCCGACTCTCCTGCCGCTGGCCTTTGCGCTCGGCGTCCCAACGCCGCGGCCACTGCCCGTGCCCGCGGCGCCTGTGCGCGTCGTGCGTGCTTGGCCGCCTCCGGGAGCAGACCCGTCCCGCATTTGGATTGAGGGCGTCTCTTCCGGTCCCCTCGGCCGAGCGCCGGATCGGCTCTTCGAGCGCATCTTCCGCCAGCGTCTCGCCGCAGAGCTCGGTCGTGACGCGGCGGACCCGACCTTTCGCGGCATCGTCGACCTCGCACGGGCCCTCGTCGCGGAGAGGGGGCCGGACGTCGCGCTCGCCTCGCGGCGCGTGCTCAACGAGTGCTTCCCCGACTGGCCGCCCGTCGCTGCCCGGCGGCTGCTCCCTGCCAGCGTGTGTGGCGACGTCCGCGCGACAGGGAGGAAGGGGCTTCTCTTTTGGTTCGAGGTCGGCTCCTCCCCCGCGCCTCGCTCTCCCGCCCCCCCGCGCCTCGGGACGTCCCTCCCCGTCGCGTCCGCAGGTCCTCTTCGCGCGGCCCTTCCCCGCCTTCTCTGGCCGGCTCAATGCGTGGGTGACCTCGTGGGCGGCGCAGTGGCTGATGGGGCCCTGCTCGCTCGAGGGCTTGGCGCCCGAAGACCTCTCCGAACTGGTAGTTCTTATGTTGAGCTGATTTTAATTTCATATAGGCCTCGCGCCCGAAGACCTCGCGGACGCGCCGTCGAATCTGTGCGGCGGCGCGGGCGCGCAGGTCCTCGTCCACCGCTGCCGCTTCCTCGAGGAGTCTGCGTGCGCGTCGATCTGCGTCAACGCGTGCAAGATACCCACGCAGGCCTTCTTCAACGAGGAGATGGGCGTGCCGATGCGCATGGAGCCCTAGAAGCGGAATACGGATTCATGCATCCGAACTAGCGCTCGAGACGACACGTCTTCAGCCGCCGTCCGCTGTCTTCCGCTGCATTCCCTGTCCTCTTCTCCGTTGTACTCACGCGGTGCTCTGAATTCACTGCACAATACCATCTTCCCGCCCTCACGTTGGCGTATTCAGCACCTACTAGGCATCGAGCCCGACTGATTGCTTAATTACTGATTAATTAATTAATCACGTAGGCATGGAGCCCGACTACGAGACGCTCGAGTGTCGATTCAAGTTTGGGCTGCGCCCATCCGCCGCGGACGAGGAGGAGGCGCGTTCGGTCGCCTGCTTCTCGGCTTGCCCCTCGAACGGGCTGCTGCGGCAGCAGCTGGAGGGCGAGGCGAGCGGAGCGCGGAGATGCTCCGCCATGGGAGGGCCAACGGTGTTGCGGGGGGAGGGCGAGGAGGAGCCGAGCTGAGCGGGCGGCCACACACAGAGGAGGATAGTTTCCATGGCTAATTCGTAAGGCGAAAGTGTCTTTTTCTCCGTGCCGTACGGCTCTCTGTGGCCTCCTGGGGCGGATTAGAGCTGTCAAACGTTAAGAGCTGAACAGTGTTGCTAGTGTTAACAGTAACAACAGAACAACAGTTGGGCTCCCCAAGCCCAACAACATTAGCTAATGTTAGGCCAGCTGAACAACAATAAGGAAGGCCTACCAGTGACCCACGACGATCTCCAGCGTCCAGTGCAGGTAATACCCGAAAATACCTGGAAATCCCCGGGTATTTTCGGGTTTTACCCGGGTTTTTGGCATTTTCTGCTTGCTGACCACTGAACAACAGTAACAACAGTAACAAACAGTAACAGCTTGGGCTGGGGAGAACACTTGAACAACGTTGAGGATTTCAGCCAACAATAGTGCAACTGTTAGGCCCAAAGTTAACGTTTGACAGCTCTAGGGGCGGTGGGGCGGCGCGGGGGCCCCCGGACGCCGGAGGCACCTCCGTGCGAGGAGACGCGAGACGATGGCAGGCCGAGGCGAGACGAGGAGGACAGAAGGCGCGAGGAAAGAGGCAGCGCCGCGGTCGACGGAGGCGACAACGACGGAGAAGGGAAGTGGGAGCGACAACGCGCACAGAGGATGAGGATATGAATTGGGACGAAGCAGCAGAGGGGAAGGCGAGGGAATCGAGGGACCGGAGGGCTATCGCGCGACAGCGATGAGATGACGACGAAGAAAGGGGAGGGGACGGAGGGGCGACACGCAGGAGGAGCGAAATCGCGAACGGCCCGAGCAGAGAGGGCGACGGCAGGGCACGAGGGGGCAACGGAAACGCTACCAATGACGCGAACCGAGGCACGGGCGACGGTGGGGTCGGGGGAGGGCGACAGCGACATCGAGGTTGACGCAACCGTGTCGAGAGCGCCACCCAAAAGGAGACGGACGGCCATGGAGGTCACCGAATGGAGGGCGAACGGCACGATACGAAAAGGCAGGGCGAGGCGGATGGAGAAAGAAGTGCCGAGGAGGCCATGGTGGAGGGGAGGGACGGGAGGACGAAAGAAGGGCGAGGAGGACGAGCGGCCCGCACAGACCGCGAGCAGAGCGCCTGCTGGCCATTTCGAGACATTCGCAAAGAACGCTAGCTACATGGGAGGGCTTCGTGAAGGGTGGATTGAAAAACATTGAACAAAAAAGAGGCGACGAGAGGAACCGGCGGAGGATGCAGTGACGTGACCCCCTCCCCCCCCCTCACACACACACACACACACGCGCGCGCGCGCGCACACACACACACACACACACACACACACACACACACACACACACACACACACACACACACACACCGCTCACCCACGCGCACTGGGCCTAGCACTTTTAATGCCGTGGGGCTCCTGTCGTCTAGACGTGGAGACGCGAGGGTCGCCCCCCCTTGCCCCACCACCTCGTGTGGGTTACCCCGCACACGGGTCAGCCAGCCTGCCAGCCACGTATCCACGCAAGCGTGGTCCGCGCGCATGGCATACACACAGGCGTTCGCCAGACAGCGCAGAGGCTAGGCGACCGGGGGAGGACTAGCTCAAGGGCAACACAGCGTCAACAGCCGTTGGCGCGCAGAACGAGACTGCCGGGTGTTTCGCCGTTGCTGAAGCGTGACAAAACTTGAGTAACTGCATGGACTTTGGGGGTGGGTGCCCCAAGCCCCAAGCCCCAAGCCCTCAGTCCTACTCCTCTACCTACAGCTCAGGCCAGAAAGAAGCCAGCAAGCCACTGGGGTCCCGTACCATGCGGAATCGACCCTATCCAGTGCTCAAGTGCTCAAGTGCTCAAGTGCTCAGTGCTCAAGTGCTCAAGTGCTCAGAAAGAAAGAAAGAAAGAAAACAGACAACCCAAGGGAGGGATGGGAGGACGGCACGCCGCCACCACACAGGGATTTGAAGGAGAGGTGTGTGGTGCGCTAGCCGTCGCCCACCCTAGGGAGTCTGCCTCTTCCTATCTCTCTTCGCAGTCTCTCTCCGATTCTCGCTGCAACCTTCATGCCACCTCGCGGTCGTCCCACTCTCGTCGTTCTCTCCCTTGTCATTTCCTCCTCTGTCGCGTCGTTCCCTTCTGCCTCGTCCTGTGACGCCGCCGCCTGCCGGTCCCTTGTTCTCGCGGCTTCTTTCGCCTTTCGGCGCAACTCCGTCGCTCCTCCTCGCGGCGTATCCTGGCCCCTCGAGTCTATCGAGCTCCCCTCGCGCAAGGACCACGTTTCTGACTCCCACTCCGATCATTTGCCTACAGGTCATGTTGTTGCTCAGGTCCACTCTCTCTTCGAACACTCGTGCCTCTACGGATGATGCCGGCGCTGGGGTCCCCTTCGGATGCATCGTGACATCTGACAACTGGATTTCCACTGGTTCATCCTCCTCGGAGTCATCTTCCCCGTCCTCCTTCCGCTCGGCTCTTCGCTCGGTACGTTCGGTGTGGCTCACCCTCCATGCCGTGAACAGGCGCTTTATCCACCCTATATTCTTCTCTCGTTCCTCTGCCCGTGCCTTGGTCTTGTCGTTGTTTCGCACCCATGTCTGTATGGCAATCGAGGCTGCCTTCCCCACTACCTGTAGTTCACTCGTCACCTCTCCCGCGAGCTGCCTTCTCTTTCTTTCGGGTATGGCTCAAGTGCGCTCCCTCGAAACCCGAAGTTGAGAGCCAATACGACACGTGCTCACAGCACAATGCCCGGGAGCTTTGTCGCGACGACCTCGCCGTCGCAAGCTTGGACTACACAGAGGAACTGCTCGCAGATGCGCAAGTGCAGACAGCGCGAGTGGACGAGACTGGCACTGCAGCGGTCAAGATCACGGCTGACTGCATCGCAGCGATCCAGCAACACCGCCTGGATCGCGGCTCAGCCTGCTGCAAACTCTTGGCTCGTTCAGGAGAGGCGTAGATTGAAACGGGTCGAATGGCCGCGGGTCGAGTGGCGCGGTTGCCTCGCACTCCCAGTTGCACCGTTGCTCGAAGGCCAGCCCAGACTGCCGACCTCACTGGGCTCCACAGGTGGGAGCCAACTCGCACACCCCGTCGCATCATCTGGACCCCGGGGCGAGGGCGGTTGCAAGTGGTTGGCGCGCGATCCTGCTGGAGCCGCAGCCGCAGGTGCTCTCGCCACGCCCGTATACGCTCCCGTTCCCACCCGCTCGCACAGCTCCCACTGCGTCGAGCAGGTGTTTCAACAGCTAACCTCACGGTATGCTCGCGCCGCGCCGCGCGTGAGGGCGATACAAGCCGCCGTCTGTCCCGATGGGGCTGCGCAGATTGTGCTGTGGACGGTTGACACGTCGTCGGCAACCGGAAATTTCGGGAGCAATGACAGCGATGCGCGGTGCCTTACACGGCCGCGCGCTTATGGAAGCTGGGTCACCGAGATTGCATCTCTGTCGCGACGGCACCTCGAGCATCACCAGCACTATCTTGGCTACAACAAGGACGAGTGCAGCAGGTGCTCGGCCTACCTTGCCAGGCCGCTGCCCTCTCACAAGTGCATGGAGAATGTGATCTCAAAGAACCTCAGACCTCTAACCGTCCCTTGCTACCACCTCTCCGACCTGCCGACAATGCTCGGCCGCGCCTCTCCAACGCTCGTTGTCATTGACGCCGAGGGAAGCGACGTTGACGTGCTCCGCAAAATGCCCCTCGCAGCCGACGTAGCGCCGGCGCGGATCATCTTCGAGTCCAAGCACCTGCTCAGCGGCGTGTTTGAAGAGGCTGCGGCGCTGCTCTTTGATCACCTCCTCGGTCGCGCCGTCCAGCATCGCCTCGTAGGCCGGGAGCGCCGCGTCGAAGGCGATCGCAGGAGCGACGCCGTCCTCGATCGCCTGCTCCACCATCGCCTTGAGCGGGCTGTCGGGGGTCTCGCCAAAGTACTGCGCCATCTCGAGCTTCTCCTCCACCGCCGCCTTCTGCTCCTCGGTCATGCCGTCCCCGCCAGGCAGGCTGCGCTCGGCGGCCGCCACGTCCTTGCAGAGCACCGTCTTCAGCAGCGCGTCGCACGCCGCCAGCCCGCCGGCGTCGGTGAAGGCGTCGCCGTCCTTCTCGAAGGCGGGCGAGGTGAACTGAAGCTTGGCGGCCGCCTTGTATGTCGACTCGGACACGTCGACGCCCTTTGCAGACACGAGCGACCACGTCGCACCCGCCCACGCCTCCGCCGTCACCGGCACCGTCTCGCCCTTGCCGTGGTAGAGCTGCACCATCGACCACAGGTCCTCCTTGGACGGGCAGCTCGGCTCGGACGACGCCACCGAGCGAGCCTCCGGCTCCGCCGCCTTCTCCGCCAGCGCCGCGTCCAAAGCCGCCTGCATCTCCTCCTCGGTCGCGCCGTCCAGCATCGCCTCGTAGGCCGGGAGCGCCGCGCCGAAGGCGTCCGCAGGAGCGACGCCGTCCTCGATCGCCTGCTCCACCATCGCCTTGAGCGGGCTGTCGGGGTTCTCGCCAAAGTACTGCGCCATCTCGAGCTTCTCCTCCACCGCCGCCTTCTGCTCCTCGGTCATGCCGTCCCCGCCAGGCAGGCTGCGCTCGGCGGCCGCCACGTCCTTGCAGAGCACCGTCTTCAGCAGCGCGTCGCACGCCGCCAGCCCGCCGGCGTCGGTGAAGGCGTCGCCGTCCTTCTCGAAGGCGGGCGAGGCGAACTGGAGCTTGGCGGCCGCCTTGTACGTCGACTCGGACACGTCGACGCCCTTTGCAGACACGAGCGACCACGTCGCACCCGCCCACGCCTCCGCCGTCACCGGCACCGTCTCGCCCTTGCCGTGGTAGAGCTGCACCATCGACCACAGGTCCTCCTTGGACGGGCAGCTCGGCTGAGCCTCGCCGCCGCTGCCGCCGCCAAAGAGACAGCCGTGCATGTGGCCCGGCAGGCCCAGCACTGAGTGCAACGCCGGCCCGTCGCCTGGTGGGCCAGTGAGCGTGCGTCGGGCTTCTATGAGAAGGTTTGGTAGCAAATAGAAACTTAATGTTGGGCGGGTGCACCTGGTTGTGCTTCAAGAAACCCTGCAAAACAGCCGATCATGTCGCTCATGAAGAGTCGTTGCGGAGAGGCAGAGCGGCTGGTCAAGCTCACGGCGGCCGTCACGAGGAGGACCACGAGGCCCGCGCCGACAGCCGACCAATGCCTCCTCCGAGGTGGGTTCTCAACAGCCCTAGCAACGATCATCGGGCTGGGTCTGAGGGTCTGAGGGACACATGAGGACGTACGCGCGTCGCCGACGATGGTTGTATTGGATTTGAATTCACCGGGTCAATGCATTTTCGTTTTTTAAATGAACTCGCACGGGACGCGGCACAAACGGGGCACAAACGCCAGGCTACAAATTTTCGTTTCAATGCCCACGATGCCGCAACACCGCAACACGACGTGGACACGGGGCGCTCCCGCCCGGGGCGCTCCCTCCAGGCTCACCGCGAGTAGAAAGTAGGATCGAGCATTGGGAGCTCTCTACATACCAGGACTCAGCACCGACCTGGCAAGCCCCTTTGTTTTTGTTTTTGTGCACGTGTGATGAACTCACACCTCGGCAGTGTGGTCTGGACCGGGCAGGGCAGTGTGGTTTTCACACCCGGGGCAGGTATAGGGATCGGGCAGGGCAGTTGAAAAGGGGCGATAATTGCTGTGAACATGGAATTTAGATAACAATCTCAATGAGATGTGTAAAGAGGACGGCCGATCGACGAAACACATGCGCGAGCTCGCGAGCTCATGCTTCTCCACGAGACATTCGGCGGCGGCTTCTCGCCGGGCCTGCAGTTGCAAAGATCAACCGCCTTGCGCGCAAGGCTCAACGCTCGGGCGTTGACACCGCGCCGCGTACCCTCCCCACACTCCCGCCCGCCTCTCATTTGTGTCACACCACGCGGAACGCATCTCCATCGCTTCGGTGAAGGGGGTGAACCGCGCCATCCTCGATCGCCGTGCAAAGCTCGCTTCCGAGCTCTCACGCCGCGCGTAGAGGGCCCTTGTAGGGGCCTAGAGAACACAACCCCCTCTCCCTTTTCTCCCAGTAAGCTAAAAGTACGTACGTACAATCGAGAGAGAGAGAGAGTACGTACAATCGCTGTGAACCCAGCCACGTCGGCTTTCGTCAAAATACGAAAAAGTAGAAAAAAGTAGAGAAAAGAAGTTCGTGCCCGAAATTCCTCGCACAACACTGGGCACGCGGGACTGGCGCGCACTGGCACATGTGTGTGGTGGCTGGAGGAGATCAGCCCGGCCGCAGGGTCGCAAGAACACGACTACACGAGCCGCTCGCGCCGCCGGGTGAGCACCCTTTCTCGCCTCTCACCCGAACGTGGTCGTCACGACCGATCCGGCAAACTCGCGCCGCACGACCCTCTCGGCGCCGTCGCCGTCGGTGAGCCTCACCTAATGGCAAGGCAAGCCACACTTCGCCCCACGCCAGGGCGGGGCGACGGGGCAAAGGCCGTGCCACCCGCCCACGTCTGCACGTCACAGCTCCGGCGCCCCGCGGGGCAACGGCGCATCGGCGGTGCTAGGTGAAACGGTGGCGTCTCACCTCCAGCGCCGACCCCGCCCCGCACGCCGAGAAGGCGATGCCGCCGGGCAGCGCACACCACCCGCCGCAGACCCGTTCGGCCGCCGCGCCGCCGCCGCGGTACGAGGCGAAGCACGGCGCGTTGACGGCGCGCGCGACGAAAGCGGCGTCAAGCCCCGACGCGGCGGGGCGGCCGGGCGAGAGGGCTTGGCTCAGCTCTCCAGCCAGGGCGCCTAGCGGCAGGTCGAGCGACCGGTTGGGGGCATGAGCTAGGGGGCGGGGGGGGGGGGGGACAAAATGAAGCTCGTAAGAGAGAGAGGGAGAGGGAGAGGGAGAGAGAGAGCTCAAAGTGCGCTCAAGAGCGCGCTTCGAGTCGGCCGGTGGCCTGCCAAGTTGTCGCCCCGGGGTGTGAGGGGGGGCTAGGAGAGGGAGATGTGGCGAGATCTCGTCGCGCCGGCGTCGGCCCAGCGCCGCTCGACAGCGACGCGCGCGCGCTTGCCGCGCGCCAGCTGGCCCTACGGGACATGTCCGGGACATGTCCGTGACGTGTCCGGGACATGTCCGGGGCGGGCGGCGGCCAGAGCTGCTATTCTCGGGAGGGTGGAGACGGGGGGGGAGGCGTCGACGGAGGAGGCGAGGACGGAGGAAGCGACGGGTCGGGGCTCAATGGAGACACGGGGGGAGGGGGAGGAGAATGAAGAGAGAGTGGTGGCCGTGGCGCGCGCCGCTGCCGCATCCCACTGCAGGCTCAGCCGGGTGCGGAGGCGTGCCCCGTCCGCCGCTCGGCTCTCAAAGTGCGTGCGGAGGTACCAGTCCGGCCCTGCAGCGTGTGGTCCAGACACACATTCACTCAGGTGCATCTGAGACGTGCCTCGAAACCATGGCGTCGGGATTCGCACCGCCGTCGCCGGGCGGGTCGTCGAGCGTGAAGACGCGCAGCGTCGCGTCGCCGCGCACCTTGGCGTCGAGCGAGTCGGAGGAGACGCGCGAGACGGACATCTCGGCAGCCAGGTTGTCGCAGGCGCAGCCCTCCGCCGGAAGGATGCGGAGAAAACGCCGTTGCAGTTCGCCGCCCTCGACGGCCGCCGTGCAGAGGACCTCGAAGCCCGCGGGCTGCATCCCATACTCAATGGTTGCCGCGTCGAGGTACCGGTCGTCGACCGGAAGGAGTGTGCCGTCCGGCTTGAATTCGCACTGCCAGCCGGCCCACTCTCCGACATTCGCTTCGGCAAAGGCCTGAGCGCTGCTGCTTGGCGAGCTGAGCATGCGCAACGGGAATTCTTTTCCGCGGCCCTCACAGACTATCCGCGCCGAGCTACTGGGAGACTGCCGGAGCGAGAGCGCGAGCATCCACATCGAAAGAATTTCTTTGCGCGCCGAAAGAAAGCCAATTTGGACTTGGGCCCTGCGGGCGGCCTTCTCTCGAGGTCTCGAGATACAATGAAGAATTTCCAGACGCTTTGCGAAGAAAACCCCGGGAAAAGCAAGCGTCGAAGCCGGCGAGGCATGAAGGTGGGCTCGGTGGCGGCGGCGAGGGAGGCGGTAGGGGCGGGGGCGGCGCCAGCGGCGGCGAGGGCTTCGACACCACGGGCTGCGGGCTCGTGGATGGCGTCGGTGCCATCCTTCGCTCTCGACGTCGCTGGGCGAATGGCACCGACCTCGATGCGGAAGACGGGCGTGCTCACGATGGACGGGCTGCGCCGGTGGACTGAGCTCAAGAAGGGCGTGCTGCGTGTGTACGCCGACGAGTCTGCGAGCGGCGCGCCGCTGCTCGAAGCATCCCTGCTGTACGTCGAGGTCACCTCCCACAATGCCACGCCAGCGACCTTCCACCTCGCGCCAATTTCGCCCTGCGAGCTCCGCATCACCGTCGAGCCTGAGGCTCTCAATCGAGCCATCGATCGTGGGCGCGGCTCGATGCCGACCCCGGTCGGCGTCGGCATGTGCGGCGGCGGCATGCTGAACCCGCACGCTGCGACGACCGAGCACAGCGGCGGCATGGCGCGTGTGACTGTCTGCCTCTTCGCCGAGAGCACCGCCGAGAAGATGGCGTGGGCAAGCGCGTTGAGCGCGACCGCACACGGGCGTCGGCAATGGGCGCACGCGCGGCACGAGCTCAACACTGCGATCGCCGGAGTCAAGGACAGCATGGGACGCGCGACCGGCAGCAGCAGCAACCGAGCAGCCCGCCCGTGAGACCCCCTCGACCCGGGTTGTCGCGACTGGTTGCACATCCGTGTCGAACATCCGTGCGCATGTCTCGATAATCATGTAGAATGTATAGCGCGACCGTGCAGCGTCTAGTCTCGAGAGGGGTAGTGTACGAAACACTCCTGTACGTTCGGTTCTCTGGTAGGACGGGAGAACGAGATGATAGTAGGGAGTAGAAGAAAGCAAAGAGGCGCCCTGCGCACGCACGACTCCGCAGGAGAAGCCCCCCCCCGCCCGAGCGCCCGTGCTTGTGCAGCGCAGCCTCGTGTGCGTCGCCCATCTCTCCCTGAGATATTTATTTATTCTTGCATTTTTGCTCCCGGCTAAGGGAGCAAGCAAGCCCGCTCAACCCCAAGTACTCACCGTTTTACAGTGGTGTTTTTGTCGCAGAGGCTGCAGCCTCTGCTGGGGCGGAATGCGCGGGGTTTTCGGCGCGATGCCCTCGGCGAGTACACGCTACAGCACCGCCGCAAGCTCTCCTGCGCGCGCGTGACGTGTGGGACGCGTGCGCTGCGCTCAAACGTCGCGATTTGGCGATAGGCGCTCGAGCCGGCGCACAGCGGATAGGTGCGCCGCGCAGGGGGGGTCGGAGGGGTGCGAGAGGGGGCGTGGGTCGGGCGCGCACCGGCTGGCTCCGGGAGCGGCCGTCCCTTCAAAAAGGGGGCCTGGTGCTGCTCGAGCCCCGAGGGGTGCCGTTTTGTTGCGCCCCCGACAGCCCTTTTTCCGAGCCGGCGGGGGGAGGCGACCCCCGCCCGGTGTCCCTGGTGCGGGGGGGGCCCAGCTTTTTTCCCCCCCCCCCCCCCCCCGCGCCCGCCCGCCCGCCCGCCCGCCCTCAGGCCTTGCCCCTCCGCAGGCGCGGGAGCGCTCGCCGGCGAGCACCTCCTACCTCTCGTCGCCCGGCTGCTCCCTTCCCCCGTCCCCCCTCTCCTGACGCGCACCCCGCGCAGACGGCGCTCCGGGACAGACGGAGCAGCGACCGCGCGCGCGGTCGCTGCTCCGCCCCTCCGTCGCGCGCGCCGCGCGCGCGCGCTGCCGCCGCTGCCGCCGCGCCCCCCTCGCCGTCTGTTTCCCGCCGTACTCGAGTATGGTGTGCGGTGCGCGCACGCGCAGCGCACACAGCAGCACCTCCCCACACCCCACCCACCCCGTCGCGCCGCCGCCGCCGCCCCGCCGCCGCCGCCGCCCCCGCTGTAGCGTTTGGGGGGGCGACTGGCGACGGCAAAAATGCAAGCCCCGCCCCTGGCCACTGTTTATCCCACGACAGCGATTGTTGGGAGAAAGAAAACAAACCGAGGGATAATTGCACGTGTAATTCTTTTGGTCCAGCGTGCGCCACACCGGGAGACTTGCTAACCGGCACCCTCGCCTCGCTCCGAACACTGCCCGGCCTGGCGATGGTGCTCCCCTACCTGCGTCCCTACCACCAGCTCGGCAAGCTCGTCGGCTATGTTGTGCGCGCAAAGACGATGGCCAAGACGGCGCGCCTCCGCCGGCACGTGCGCGCCAGGCGCCAGGCGCCGCCCCCACCCCGCCCGCCGGCGCGCTCAGGTCGTGGTGAACATCCCCTGGTACTGGCGTCATCCCAAGTACCAGCGCATCGTGCTCAAGCGGACCCGCCTGTTTGCGCACGACGAGTTTGACCTGTGCTCCGTCGGCGACATGGTCCGACTGCAGATGGTGCGGCCGCTCTCCAAAAAGAAGTCGCACGTGGTGGCCGCCATCCTCCGCCGAGAGGACGGCTCGGCGCCGCCGTCGCCCTTCCCCAACGTCCACCTGTCGCGAAACGTGTGGCCAGAGGAGGCGGAGGAGGCGCGAGTCGCCGCTGGCCTGCCAGAGAGGGTTGCTGGGCCGGGCGTGGAGGGGAGGCTGCGAGGGGGTGCGCAGTGAGAGAATCGAGTCGTCGTGGCGTGAATTGTCGCTTCGCTGTGGATGGCTGCAGCCGCGCGAGGTGTGAATTGTCGCTTCGCTGCGCGGCCGCCGATGTGATTACGTGAATATGTGAACTGTTTGAACGCCACGACGATTCGAAAAAAATGAGAGGAAGGGAAAAAGGGAAGAGTCAAGAGACGCGCGAGACGTAGAATAGCAATTGAATATAGCAATTGCCCTTCTCCGCCTTCGGCTATGCTCTCGCTGTGCCGATGTGCGCGACCGATGATCTCCGCGCGCCCGGGGGGTAGAGCTGTCAAACGTTAACCCTGGTAGGTGGATTGTCCAAAATACGTCAGCCTCGCACGCCTAGCGCTAGGTCTGACACCCGACCGCCGCCCCCTCCCTAATATTAGCCGGCAGGAGCACATTTTGGCCGGCTAATGTTAGGGAGGGGAGGCCGAAAAACGCATACTTTTGTCCACCTACCAGGGTTAATCAGCTGGACCGAATTTTACCAAGTTGGACGCCGTTGGACGTATCCAGTGTTTATAGTGTCTACGTGCAGCGACGGGCGGCTGCGCGATAGCTGCTTTGTCGGTCCCGTGAGCCAAGTCAGCGTCGGGCTGGCAACATGTTCGCTCGCCGTGGTCACAGGCCATCGAGGAAGCCACCCTACCAGGGCCACAATCGCGTTGCGGATCAGGTTTGTGACCCTGGCGGTGGCGAGCCTTTGGCGCACAGCGTAAGCATGCCAGCACGACTCGCATCAGGGCTGCACCCGTCGCCGAGCACCTCGTGCACTCTACATGGATCGGGTGATGCCACGAGCCCGCTGCGCGGCTGCACCGAGTGGCTCTCTGTGGCAGGGAATGCACTTTTATGCCACATGATGGCGTTGCCTCGCAGCATGCCGAGTGGGCCTTCTGTCTCTGAGGAAGAACCGAAATGCAAATTCGCGCCTTGCCGATCTCCGAGTGGTCAACCGGAGAGGTCTGTGGACACGTGTGCAAGCGAGGCAGCCGCAATCGGCGCGTCTCTGGCATCTGCGTGGTGAGCACCCTGGCGGTATGCGTGCGCAGCAGCCTCAGCGCAGGGCCAGATGACGTGTCCGGTCGGAGGTGGAGCGCTACCAACGGCTCGAGAGGTTCCTCGCGGGTCGAATTCCGTCCACGCGCACGCGTCGGGGACCCGCTCAGCAGCACCGAGGGGTATCTGTCGCGTCACAGCTATCGTGTGCTGCAGCATCCGGCAAACCAGTGCCGGCTACTGGCCACCATCGATACACGGAGAACCGCTCGCACGAGTCAGCCCAGAGGCGATCGATGGGCGGGAGAGGCCTCTGGCACAGACATACAGCTCGGGCCCGACAGACGGCGCGAGGGGGCGATCTCGCGCGGGTCCAACTTTGGCCTGTGTGAGGGCGTGAAGAGGGGAAAAGCCGCCCTGCTTTTCTTTTTTACTATGTAAAGGCAGGCTTCGCAGAGGGGGAATCTGTACTCTCTTCTGTACTTTGAGGACGGGTACTTACAATATATAACGTCCCCAAAGTACAGCAAAGAGTACAAAAATAGATATGTAGGAAAGCTTGCGTCAGAGAATCTCGCGAGGATCTCGCCCCCACCCAAGAAGACCGCGTCTAAGAAAAGCACGGCCAAGAAGGACGCGCCCAAGAAGAAGGGGTAATAGAGGATGCCATCGCGTTATAGTAGGGATGCCTTCTCTTCGCCCTGTGGCTGTGCGACGTGAGGAGGCGTTGAACTCGATCACTGTTGACTCCTCCGACCTCACACGTCACAGCCCAGTGGTGCAGCGCTGAAGGGGCCGGCCGCGCCGCCTAGGGGGGCCTAGCGCGCCGCGCCCCCGCGCCCCGCGGCGCAGGGGCCCAGGGCCGCCGCCGGCGCCGCGTTTATTAAATCAGATATCTCTTCTCACGTCACCACAGCGTGTGACACACTTTTTGTTTTTATATCACTTTATATATCACTTTGTTGATTTGTACACATGATCATTGATTGAAGATTGAACACACAGGCGGTCACAGCGAATAAAAAAGAAGCACCGTGCGTGCCACGCGCGGGAAGTGGGAGCGACCCCCCTGGATACGCTTTGTTATAAGAGCGCCGACCCCACACAAATCAGGAGATGAGGTGCGGCAAGCTGGCGAAGATGTCGCGCGTCTGACAATCGGTCCCGGGATCAAACCCGACGCCAAAGTCGCGCAAGCGCCAGCGGCTGGGATCCGTTGCCGCCGCGCCGACCTCGCCGCTCACGAGGACAAGAGGCCGCTCGGGCGACCACCTGACGATTGCCTTGCCGATCCGCAGCTCGACCTGCCGCCGACGGCCGGCTCCGCGTCAGAGACATCCCGGGCGAGAGCTGGCAGGGGGGCTAGCGGGGGGAGGGCGGCGGCGGCGGGGGGGGGGAGGGGGGGGGCAAACACGGGGCGGGGAAACTGACTGGGAGGGAGAAAGGGGGGGGGGGGGGAAAAAAACTGAGGGGGGGGGGGGGGGAGCCTGGTGCCAAGCGTCGCAGCTTAGCTGCGCTGCGACCGCCGCCGCCACCTCCGCCAGAGTCATGTCGGCAGGGTGGCGGTGCGGCGCCGAGTCGACGAGCAGGCCGCGCGAGTCCGGCCCGACCGTGCGGACGATGACAGCGCCTACCCTCGGCTGATCTCGGCTGATCTCGGCTGATCTCGGCCATCGAGCCGGCGCCCGTGCGGGAAGAGACGGCGCCGAGCCAGAGCGTCGCACCGCACGCGCCGGCGGGACGGAGGAGCGGGCGCGTGCGCGGCGCGTAGCTGCCTCTGCTGCCGAGGAGCGGCGAGAGGGCGAGTGGCGCGCGGCGGCCGCCGGCGGCGGTGCGCACGACGGCGGCGGCGGTGCCGTCGACGGCGTCGAAGCGGACGAAGAAGCGCCATGCGACCACGGTGCGGCGGGCGGGCAGGGGGAAGGGGCTGCCCATCAGCGCGCCGTTGAGGACAAAGGCGAGGAAGGTGCTGGGGACAGGGGGGGAGGGGGGGAGGGTAAGGGGGGGGGGGTAAGGGGGGATGCATCAGGAGGTGGCTGGGTCGTCGACGTGGCGAGAGAGACGTGGCGAGAGAGGGCGGCTGGATGGTGGCACGAGAGAGTGCCGCGGGACCGCCCCGGCCCTCTGCAGCCCTAGCGACCTACGGCCGCGCTGGGGGCGGGGGAAGTGGCAGAGGCATCTGAGCCGTCTCGGAAGGGGTTCTCTCCTGCAGCCAAGGCTGTGGTGCAGCGTGAAGAGCGTCGCGCCCAGCCGGTCGCCCTCTCGCAGCGGCTCGCCGAGCACCGACAGCACCTCGCACCGGGCGCCTGAAAGACGAAAAACACGGGGCGCGGCTCCTGCGACTGAAAAAAGAAAAGCAGGCGGGCCTCCGGCGGGACACGTGAACGGCGTGTCGCGGAGTGTGGGAAATGCCGGGGCACGGCCAACATCACGCACACCGTCGAGTGCTTGCACGGCTGCACCTCGGCTATACCTCGGCTGCACCTCGGCTGTACCTCGGCTGCACCTCGGCTGTATCTCGGCATGTCCTCGGCTGTCTCTCGGCTGTCTCTCGGCTGTCTCTCGGCTGCACCTCGGCTACATCTCGCCTACATCTCGCCTACATCTCGCCTACATCTCGGCTACATCTCGGCTACATCTCGCCGTCGAGCACATGCACCCGCCCCGCGCCGTCGAACCAGAACCGCACCGACCCGGTGCTCGAGCCGCCGCCTGAGGAGGGGGGACGTGTCCTGGACGTGTCCTGGAACTGTCCTGGACGTGTCCTGGACGTGTCCTGGACGTGTCCGGCACAGGTCTAGATAGGGCCGGAGAGCCGCCGCCGCCTTGCTGCTGCTGCGCGGCCGATGCGCCAGACACGCCCAGCTGGATCCCGCCGACGGAAGGAAGGCGGCGGACGTGTATCTCGAGCAGGCCGCCGCGCCGCACGCTCGGTCGCACCTGGGGAGATGTGGGGAGATGTGGGGAGATGTGGGGAGATGTGGGGAGATCGCCGCGCCGCACGCTCGGTCGCACCGGCTCGCCGAGCATCACGAGATGTGGGGAGATGTGGGGAGATGTGGGGAGATCGCACCGGCTCACCAAGCATCACGAGAGGGAGATGTGGGGAGATATGGGGAGATGTGGGGAGATCACCGACTCGCCGAGCATCACGAGAGGGAGATGTGGGGAGATTTGGGGAGATGTGGGGAGATCGCACCGACTCGCCGAGCATCACGAGAGGGAGATGTGGGGAGATATGGGGAGATGTGGGGAGATCACCGACTCGCCGAGCATCACGAGAGGGAGATGTGGGGAGATTTGGGGAGATGTGGGGAGATCGCACCGACTCGCCGAGCATCACGAGAGGGTTGCCGAGCCGCGACGTCTTGCGGAGCAGCCCCGTGCGCTCGTCGTACGAGACAACCGAGGGGGGGCACGAGCCTACAGGTGGACGCGTCCGGGACGTGTCCTCGCCACGGCCGCGCCAACGACATGGCGGAGCGGGAGTAGAGGCGCGAGCCGGGGAAGACGGGCGGCGAGGAGACTGGGTAGAGGAGCTCGCCGCCCGCCGGCGAGGCGTGCGCCCGAAGCGCGCGCGACACGCACCCGAGCGCGTCCTGATGCACACCGTCGCGCGGTCAGCGGCGACGTCGCAGTGGGGGAGAGAGGAGGAGGAGGAGGGCGGCGAGGGGACGGCCCACCGCTGCGCGCGTCGAGCCGCAAAAGCAAAGGATCAGCTGCAGCAGCGACGAGGGGAGGGCCTCGAGCGACGAGGGGAGGACCTCGGTCTCGGCCTCGTCCGCAGCGCCGCCGCCGCCGGTCTCCGCCCTTTCGCCGCCGCCTCGCCTCGCATCGGCCTCTCCGGTGCCGCGCGCCACAGCGAGCGGCGGCGACTGCGCCGACGACCGGCGGTGGCAGGCGTGCAGCCGGGCGGTGGTCGTCGCGGAGTGGTTGACGGCGATGTCGAGAAGCGCCTCGTTGACGGAGCCGGCGTCTTGAATCACGAGCGGATCAATGGGCGTGCCAAGCATCGAGGCAATGCAGGCCTCCTCGCCCTCCGCCAGCCAGGAGAGGCGGGCGCCCCGCAGCGCAAACTCATGCACGTACAGCACAGCCTCGCGGCGCGCGTCCGCCTTGGCGACGGGCGAGCCGACAGCCTCGCCAACCATAACCCACGCCTTGGGGGGCCGCATGTTCGCGATGCATTGCCTTTGAGTCCCCGGGGCCCTGCCTGTGAAACCTCTGTCGAGCCTGAGCTCGGGCAGGGGCTGTAAGGTAGTGAAAGACCTTCCCTGGGTCTGTCTCTCACACCCTCACTGTCGTCGTATGCGAGGTTCTTGTTTTCTTATCACCCTATCTGTGAAGTCAACCACCTAGGGGCCCATGTGGCAAACCCCGCAAAGTGACCCGACGTTGCCGACCCACGCCCGTGCGCGCGTATCTTAGCTAAAGGTACGCGGCCACACGCGCTGGCGCGCACGGCAACCGGGACTTACACGCGCGACACGAGGGACTGCGTTCCTCGCCTGCCTCGGGGGAGAATAGCCGCCCTCACCCGCTGCCGCGCATCGAGCTCGGCGCGGGGCTGATACGTGTCATTCTGTGCCGGCGCCTATCTTAGCCAAGATACGCGGCCACACGTGCAGACGCGTATAGCGGTACTCGTACCCACACGTGCAGCCGCCTATCTTGGCCAACATAGGCGGGCGTGAGCGCGTGAAACGGCCCGTCGGCGAAGGCGACTCGCGCTGGCACGTGCACAGAGGGATGTTCACATACGCGGCTACACGTGTGGGCGCCTATCTAGGGGAACATCGCGCCCCATGCGTGGGCGTGTATGTCACGCGGTACGCGGCTGCGAGTGCTGAACGCCAAACAGGTCCAGGCTGAACAGCTTGAGCACGTCGAGCCAGCGGGTAAAGTGCTCGTCGAGGCGGACGCCGTAGACGAGGGCGAGGGTGCTGCTCACCTGGTAGAAGCTGACGACGACCTTGAACTTGGGCTGCAGGCCGACCGCGGACTCGATGCGGGCGGCGGCGCAGTACGGGTCGCCGTCTCCGTCGGTGAGGCGGCGGCGGCGGGAGGGCTGGCCGGAGCCACCAGAGCACGTCTCTGAGTCACAGCGGTGGAGCTCCGAGGTGGCGTCGGAGGCGCGCCAGTAGCCGGCGTCCACGCCGAGGGACGCGAGAGTGGTGCCGGCGTTGCAGTTGGCGTGAAGCGGGCACGACTTGCAATGGTCGGTCGGGTTCTCAAACGTCGTCTGGATCGGCGCTCGCGTCCTTCAAGTAGAAGCCCTCCTTGCAGATGGAGCAAGTGACGTCGCCGCTCTTGGAGCTGAGGGGGTGGGGGCAGAGAGTGCACTGCGAGAGGCCCTCGCTCGCCGCGTAGGTGTCCGCCTCGCACTCCTCGCAAGCGGTGCCGGAGGCTGCGTAGTGGCCGATAGGGCAGAGCTCGCAAGCGGGCATGTTGCTTGTTGGGCGAGGTGACGATTCTGCCTGGAGATCACGGCGTCTGCTGCGTGGATTCTGTGGTGGCGAAGTGCACCGGATAGAGGTCGGTGCATAGGCTAGCGGTGGTCAAACAATGGTTTGTATGATCAGGCTTGCTTAAATCTTTCAGCTCAGTGATTGTGTTGATGGGAAACCTTTTTTACGTCCTTTACGGGAATTTGAATGCCACCTTCGGGGGCAAAGACATGGGCTCTATGGCTCAGACTGGACTCCTCTTGGTCCCTTCTGATGCCCTAGGCCATACCTGGGCCTTACCTGGGGTTCTAGGGGCCGGGCAGGGTTTGCCCCCCCCAACTGGCCCGGAGGACCTTAAGAGGTAAGTCCTAGAGTCTGCAGACTTTACACTCACACACCCATCCGGTTCGGCCCAGGGCACCTGTCCACCCGCACCCCGCACCCATTTCAACACGCACACGCTCGGGCTCTCGCCACACGTCCTACCTACGGCTGCACTACAGGCTGCTGGCGCGGCTCGGCGGGGCGCCGCCGCACGAGGCGCGCCACCGCGATGCGGCGGCGAAGGAGCTGCCACCGCCGGCGGAGCGGCCCCGCGTCGCACGGCACCGCCCCCATGCTTTTTAGTATGAGGCGCAGGCTGACCTCACGATGCTCCGGAGCCGGGTAGAGCGCCACCGCCACCGTGTCGAACAGCTTGTACGGCGGCCGCTGCAGCACCTGCGGCGTCTGCTGGAAGAAGCGACCGAAAGGAACGCCGCCGCAGCTTGGCTCCTGCTCGTGGACCATGGCGATGGTGATGCCTTGGTCCATCGCCGCTTGCACGAGGCGCGCGACAGCGCCGCCGGCGTCAAGAAAGGTCTTGTCGTTCAAGTAGAGCAGGAACACGGGGAAGCCCTCGCACGGGGCCGCGTTGGCTCCCTCGAGCGCCTCCTCCGCATCGCGGATCTCGACCGCCTCGGCGCTGGCGGTAGAGCCGCGCCCCTCCACCGCCGCATTCTTGAGCTCCTCTGCTATACCAAAGGCATCCTCGTTGCCGCGGCACACGAGGATAGTGACGGGGCCGCTAAAGGCAACGGGGCCTGCCTCGCCGGGCACCATCACTCCCGCTTCAAGCTCGGCCGGGCGGCTCGCGTAGTACGGAGAGTGCAGCAGCATGCGCAGCGCGACAGCCTTGAGCGACACGAGCTGAAAGATGTTCACCCGCACCCACACGATCGGCTTCGCCTCCTCAAACACGCGCGCGATCATCTCGTCTGGCCCGCCGTAGGAAGGGTAGGCGGGCGGGGCGACCTCGACGCAGTTCTCGCGGCACTCGGCCTTCAACGCCTCGATCGAGGCGCCGCCCTTTGCCACGTCTGCCTCGAAGATGGGGATGAAGGGCCGGTCTTTGCCGAGCGCCGCGTACAGCTCACGGCGACAGTTGAAGCTCTTGAAGTAGCCGGCGCTGAGGAAGACGAGGAAGGTATTCGCGTCGGCCACTGACTCCTCCAGCTTGCCCACGTCCTCGAGGTTGTCGACGTCGAGCCAGATCCGGACGCCGGGGAGAAGAAGCTGGAGTCGCCGCACGACGGTGTGCGTCTGGTCCTGGCCAGTTCCCCAGGCGTGCGAGATGAAGCCGTGGAAGTGGCACTCGGGGGACAGCTCGAGGACTGGGGGGCGGCCGGAGGAGCAGAGGCGGATGGTGGGCGCGCGGACGGCGCTGATTATCTTGAAGAGGACGACGAGCAGCGACGCGGCCAGCATTGCGGCGGTGAGCGCGATTACAAACTCACTCGCTCCGCGCGCGCTCTCGAAGCCGACGAGGGTCTTGCACATGTCCTCGTAGGCGGCGCTCTCGCAGAGCTGAATCACCGTTCCGGAGGTGAAGCAGCAGGCGAGAAACAGATTGGCGGTGCACGCGAGGTAGAGGTCGGCGGATCGCTTGAAGGGTCGGGCGAGGGCGAGGACGGCGAGGTAGAGGGCCGAGACGACAGAGGCGACGAAGAGGCGGAGGATCTTGCTCGACCCGGTGTCTGTCTGAATGAAGAGCACCAGTGAAGCGAGAGACAGCTTGCGGCCCAGATCGACGACCTCCCAGAAGAGGAAGCGCGGGTCGTAGTCGCGCCAGAGGAAACGGCTGGCTCGGGCCGTGGCCCTGACTCGCTGCGCCCGCACCTCGGAGCGGATCGAGAGCAGGAGCGCCAGGAAGGCTAGCGGGACGAGCACCGGCCAGAGGACGAAGAAGGCCCAAAAGTACGCGTCGAGGCCGCGGTGCTCGTCGGTGCTGCAGAGCACGTCGAGGTCGGCTACGAGATAGCTGCGTGTGTCCCCGGTGAAGACGTTGATGTCGTACGACTCGCACTGCTTCGCCTTGAAGATGGAGCGCGAGACGGAGGGCAGCACGAGGTAGGCGACGAGGATGGCCCAGTAGAGCAGGCGGCGCAGCGTAGAGCGGACGAGGTCGCGACGGAGGCTGCCGGCGCGACCAGACAGAAGCCACTCCGCGAGTGCGTAGCAGGCGATGGCGGCGCCTCCGAGCAGCATGGCTGCAAACGGCCACAGACCGGCGAGCAGGAGCCGGTCAGCCATCGAGCCGATGCACGCGTCCGGGTAGGTGAGGCCGAGCAGATCAAAGCTGATCGCGTCGATGAAGTCGGTCCAGCGCGTAAAGTCCTCGTGGAGGCGGACGCCGTAGACGGGGCCGAGCGTCGCAACGACCTGGTAGAAGCTGACCACGATCTTGAACTTGGGCTGGAAGCCAACCTAAGGTAAGGTGGGGTGGTGTCGACACGAGAGGCAAGAGGCGCCCGGTCAGTGGATGGGGGGAGGGTCTGTCCCGCCAACCTGCGACTCGACGATATCAAGACGTGCTCTGAAGCGGTCCCATGCCTCGGCGCGGGCGAGGGCGCGGTACAAGAAGAGCCCTGTCACTGCGAGAGCGACGACGACTCCCGCCAGGATGCCGAACCTTCCCGCCGTCGGGCAGTCGGCGCAGCCTCGCTCCGCGCGGCTGAAGTACTGCTCGTCGCTCACGCACCACTCGCAGAGCGGGCCGGTGTGGCCGAGGTCGCAGCCTGGGCCGGCGCCGCCAGAAGCCGCGAGGCGGCGGGAGGTCTGTGCCGCGCCGCCCGAGCCGCTGCAGTGGTCGGAGGCGTCGCAGTCGTGAATCTCGGTCGTGAGGAGCGAGGCGCGCCAGTGGTTGCGCGGGACGCCGAGGGTCTCGAGAGTGGTATTGGTCGCGCAATTAGCGTTCAGCGGGCACGCTTTGCAGTGCTCGGTCGGGAAGCGGAAGATGTCATCCGGAAGGGCGCTCGCGTCCTTCAAGTAGAAGCCCTCCTTGCAGATGGAGCAAGTGACGTCGCCGCTCTTGGAGCTGAGGGGGTGGGGGCAGAGAGTGCACAGCGAGAGGCCGTCGCTCGCCGCGTAGGTGCCCGCCTCGCACTCCTCGCAGGCGGTGGTGGAGGCTGCGTAGTGGCCGATAGGACAGAGCTCGCACGCGGACATGTTGACTGAAGGGGCGATGCTACCTGGAGCGCACGGCGTCTGCTGCGTGGAGCCCGTGGTGGCGAAGTGGCCCGGCGTGGCGTCGGTGCACTCGCTGGCGCCGGTCGCGCCCTGGTAGGAGCCCTCGGCGCACAGCTCGCAGACCTCGTTGCGCGTGCCGCTGGCGAAGCTGCCCTCGCCGCACGCCGTCTGCTCGGTGGCGCCCCGGGCGGCGATGTGGCCCGGAGCGGCGGGCGTGCACTGCGAGGCGGCCGACAAATCCGTCTTGTTCGAGTAGGACCCGCCCTCGCACGGCAGCGGCCTCGACGCGCCCGGCTCGCAGTAGCTGCCCTTCTCGCACGCGCGGCAGGACGTCCCGCCCGTGTCGTTCTGGTACGTCCCGCCCTCGCATTGCGCGCACTCGGAGAGGCCGCCCGTGACAGCGAAGCTACCCTTGGCGCACGCCGTCTGCTCGGTGGAGCCGGTGGTGGCGAAGTGGCCCGGTGAGGCGTCGGTGCACTCGCTCGCGTCGGAGAGGTTGGTGGCGCGCGAGTAGCTGCCAGCCTCGCACGGCAGCGCCGCCGCCGCGCCAACAGCGCAGTAGCCGCCCGCCTCGCACGGCTTGCACGCCGTCTGCGCCTCCGCGTCCTGGTACGTGCCGCCGGAACAGGGCGTGCACTCGCCCTGCCTGGTCTCGTTCGTGTACGACCCCTTGGCGCACGCCGTCTGCTGCGTGGAGCCGGTGGTGGCGAAGTGGCCCGGCGAGGCGTCGGTGCACTCGCTCGCGGCGGTGAGGTTGGTGGCGTTCGAGTAGCTGCCAGCCTCGCACGGCAGCGCCGCCGCCGCGCCAACAGCGCAGTAGCCGCCCGCCTCGCACGGCTTGCACGCCGTCTGCGCCTCCGCGTCCTGGTACGTGCCGCCGGAACAGGGCGTGCACTCGCCCTGCCTGGTCTCGTTCGTGTACGACCCCTTGGCGCACGCCGTCTGCTCGGTGGAGCCGGTGGTGGCGAAGTGGCCCGGCGAGGCGTCGGTGCACTCGCTCGCGGCGGAGAGGTTGGTGGCGGTCGAGTAGCTGCCAGCCGCGCACGGCAGCGCCGCCGCCGCGCCAGCAGCGCAGTAGCCGCCCGCCTCGCACGGCTTGCACGCCGTCTGCGCCTCCGCGTCCTGGTACGTGCCGCCGGCGCAGGGCGTGCACTCGCCCTGCCTGGTCTCGTTCGTGTACGACCCCTTGGCGCACGCCGTCTGCTGCGTGGAGCCGGTGGTGGCGAAGTGGCCCGGCGAGGCGTCGGTGCACTCGCTCGCGGCGGTGAGGTTGGTGGCGCGCGAGTAGCTGCCAGCCTCGCACGGCAGCGCCGCCGCCGCGCCAACAGCGCAGTAGCCGCCCGCCTCGCACGGCTTGCACGCCGTCTGCGCCTCCGCGTCCTGGTACGTGCCGCCGGCGCAGGGCGTGCACTCGCCCTGCCTGGTCTCGTTCGTGTACGACCCCTTGGCGCACGCCGTCTGCTCGGTGGAGCCGGTGGTGGCGAAGTGGCCCGGCGAGGCGTCGGTGCACTCGCTCGCGGCGGTGAGGTTGGTGGCGCGCGAGTAGCTGCCAGCCTCGCACGGCAGCGCCGCCGCCGCGCCAACAGCGCAGTAGCCGCCCGCCTCGCACGGCTTGCACGCCGTCTGCGCCTCCGCGTCCTGGTACGTGCCGCCGGCGCAGGGCGTGCACTCGCCCTGCCTGGTCTCGTTCGTGTACGACCCCTTGGCGCACGCCGTCTGCTGCGTGGAGCCGGTGGTGGCGAAGTGGCCCGGCGAGGCGTCGGTGCACTCGCTCGCGGCGGAGAGGTTGGTGGCGCGCGAGTAGCTGCCAGCCTCGCACGGCAGCGCCGCCGCCGCGCCAACAGCGCAGTAGCCGCCCGCCTCGCACGGCTTGCACGCCGTCTGCGCCTCCGCGTCCTGGTACGTGCCGCCGGCGCAGGGCGTGCACTCGCCCTGCCTGGTCTCGTTCGTGTACGACCCCTTGGCGCACGCCGTCTGCTCGGTGGAGCCGGTGGTGGCGAAGTGGCCCGGCGAGGCGTCGGTGCACTCGCTCGCAGCGGCGAGGTCGGTGGCGTTCGAGTACGACCCGGCGGGGCAGGGAAGTGGCACGCTCGTTCCCTTCGGGCAGTAATGACCCGCATCGCAGGACAGCGCCTCATAGGTCGCTTCTGTGGGGCACTGGGAGCCTGCGGGGCAGCGGCCGGCGCAGCTGCTGCTCGACTGCTCCTTTGGGTCGGCCGAGCCGAGGAGGCCGGCGGCACAGGCAAAAGGGAAGTCCTCATCGACGGGCAGCAGCGGCAGCTGGTAGAGGTTCACGCCGAGGAGGGAGGGGTCGTCCTCCCAGTTGCAGGGCTGCACGAAGGTCGGGTTCTGGCAGTACCAAGGCGGCTGGTCGACTGCTGCGACGGCGAGTGCGCAATCGTCGCGGTGCTCGAGGCAGGCAGTTTCCTTAACCGGCTCGTACGGATAGGAGCACGCCTCCCGGTACACCTCGCAGCGCGCGTTCGGCAGCCAGCGGCCGGCGGGGGCGGGGAGGGTGTAGGAGACCTCGCCAGCGAGCAGGAAGATGGAATTCCCCTGACCCTCGGCAGAGCAGCCGCTGATGAGAGTGCCGTCGCTAAGGGAGGTGCGCCCGCCCGCCGAGTAGAGGCCGCCGCCAGACTCTGTGGCGATGCAGCTGGAGATGGTTGAGCGGGCCAGGCTGGCTGAGCCCGACCCCACGTACACTGCGCCGCCTCGAAAGGCACGGCAGTCGGAGATGGTGGAGTCGGTCACGATGAGGTCGCTGTTCCACGTGAGTGTAGCTCCGCCGTTCTGTGGTTGCGAGGAGAGCGGGGTGAGACAGCCGTGACCCTCTTTATCTCTCGCCCCGCTGCCGTGCGGCGCTGCAGGAGTGCGGCTAGCTCTACGCGGCGCACATAGCCAGCAGAGCAGTCGGTCACGTTCGACTCGATTATCGAGACCGCACCGCTGCGAGACGCGAAGACGACGCCGCCGTCCTGCGGTTGCGAGGAGAGAGCGGGGTGAGGCAGCCGTGGCCCCCTCTACCTCTCGCCCCGCTGCCGTGCGGCGCTGCAGGGGTGGCGGCTAGCTCTACGCGGCGCACATCGGTAGCAGAGCAGCCCGACACGTCCGAGCTGGTTATCGAGACCGCACCACTGTTCGCCGAGTAGACGACGCCGCCGTCCTGCGGTTGCGAGGAGAGAGCGGGGTGAGGCAGCCGTGGTCCTCCTATCTCTCGCCCTGCTGCCGTGCGGCGCTGCAGGGGTGGCGGCTAGCTCTACGCGGCGCACAGCGCCAGCCGAGCAGTCCCTCACGACCGACTCGATGATCTCGACGTCGCCTGCGCCGTTTGCGAACACAACGCCACCTTCGTACGCCCTCCCGTTGACGAGGGTCAGCCCCCGCAGGGTGAGGCTGCAGCCGCCCCGCAATTTAAAGAGCCTGGTCTCTCCCTGGCCGTCGAGCGTCGCGCCCTCGCCGCTGCTGGCGACGGTCACTTTGATGGTGGAGGTGCAGCTGATCTGGCTGCCCAGCTTGAACTCTGCACCGGGCGGCAGGTAGATGGAGACGTTGGCAGCAGCTGAAGTAGCGTCCTCGATCAGGGAGCGGAGCTCGTTCTCGGTCGCCGCGGCGACATCGAAGCCGGGGGAGAGCGGCGGCAGCGGCGGCGGCGGCGGCGGTGATGGCGGTGTTGGCGGTGGAGGCGGTTGAGGCGGCGGTGATGGCGGTGAAGGCGGTGATGGCGGCGCTGGTGGCGGTGAAGGCGGGCGGGTCGCCCAGCAGACCTGACGGCAGAGGGAGGAGGGCATCAGAGAGGAGAAAGAAGGCGAGCGAGAGCGACCAGGGGCGCGCCTTCCAGCCCGACCTGACTACGCTGCCATCCGATCGCCACTCGATGACGCCGTCCTCCGCCACCGCGCCATTCGGCCCCGAGGTGCCGCAGTACTTTGTGCCGTTGACGGTGAGGTAGTCACAACCGCAGCTGCCGCATTGCTCCACATCAAATGCGACTGTCTCCAGCTCGACCGGCGGCACGCCGCTGATGGTGCACTCCTCGTTCCTGCCGTAGCTGTTCGGATAGTTTGGCGACGCGGCGCACGAGCCGCCGTCGGTGAGCGAGCACGGGCCGCCGACGCAGGTTACGCCAGGCTGGCATGGCGGCGGCGGTGGGGGCTGCGGGCAATCGTACTCGCAATGCAGGGCCTGCGCCGTCGAGTGGCCCGCGCTGACGCCCGCGAGGCGGCGCAGCATGCGGCGCACTTTGGGGCGCCGACTGCCGATGCTGCCCTTGGAGGACTCTTCGGTGGCCGAGGTCAGGCGGTCCCACACGCGCTTCCAGTAGGCGTACATCACCGCATCGCAGTCGGACGGCACCGCCTCCTCGCCGTCGGCGACCACCCACGGCTTGGGGCACGAGTGCGTGATCCAGTGCACGGCAAAAGGCGCGCCGGCGCCGGCGGCCTGCCAGTCGTTGGCCACGTCAGCGCGGCCGATGGCGAGCTTGGTGACGCCGCGCTCGGGCGTGGAGCCGTCGTAGTACGAGTTGAGGAGGGCCTGTTCGGTGCAGTCGATCACGTTGCCAAACTTGTTCTTGTGCTCCTTGCTGCCCTCAGCGAGCAGGTCCTGGTAGGTGGCCTCGGACGGCGACAGCATCATCACGCCCGCGTTGAAGTACGAGTGGAAGCGGGCGCGCTCGGCGGCGAAGCCCTTGACCTTGTCAAAGGCGTCGGAAGCATCGCCGGTGAGGACTGTGTCGGCGTCCAGGTAGAGGATGCGCTTGTACTTGAGCTGCTGCCACAGCCGCAGCTTGGTGGCCATGTGGCCCCACCGCTCGCCCTGGTCCTTGTCAAACCTGGAGCACTCCTCGGACTTTCCAAACCAAAACTCGGCAACCTCGTCGACGACGGCGACTGTCCAGCCGGCAACGGTGAGGGCGGAGCGCCACTCCTCGGGCACCGACGACGTGACGAGGCACACCATGTCGCGCGCTGAATCGAAGGAGCGGATCGAGGAGCCGAGCACCATGGCGCCGCGGAAGTAGTCGCTGTTGTCCGTCGTCAGGAGGGTGGCGTAGGCCTGCGACTTGCGGAGCGGGATGAAGAGCCACGGCGAAGCGGGGCGGCTCACGACCTCGCCACGCAAGATGGAGTCGGAGAGGGCTGGCGCGGCCGCGCCCAGCACCTGCGCGGCGGCGGCGGGGGGGGGGTCTCGGAAGGGGCTCGCGAGATGAAGTCGGCCGGCGCGGCGCCGCACCTTCCGCTCCGAGGCGAGGTAGGTGACCGACGTCTTGGGCGACGGGCGCAGGAGCGCGTTGATGCGCTCCTCGGTGGGCATGGTGAGCCGCTCGACACCGAGGGCGGAGAGGTCCGCGTGCAGTCTTGTCAGCGCGGCGTATGGTCGCGCCATGAGCTCCTCGTGGTGGACCACGGCGGTGGGCACGATGGCGCAGGCGCGCGCAACGCCGCCGTAGTACGCCTCGTAGACCGCTGCCCATTCTGCGTACGACACGTTGTGCGAGTAGATCATCATCGAGTTGGCGATGGAGAGGGGCTCGCGGTGCACGATGACGCAGGCGGGCGCGTCGAGCAGCTCGACCCACTCCGAGGCGACGAGGGACATGCGCGGGTCTTTTGTCACCCACGGTCGCTGGGCGTTGAGTTTTGCCACGACGCCCTTCGCCTCCGCCGTCGAGTGCACCTTGGTCGCCGGCTTGTCGGCATCGAAGCCGTACGCCACCCAGTCAGGCAGAGTGTAGCGCGCCGCGGCCGCATCCACGCCCGCAGCCAGCCGCTCCTCATCGAGGCCGACCACATCGGCGCGCTCCCAGTATTTGAGCGGGTTCGATGGGTGCAGCAGCATGCCCTCGAGCGTGCCGCCGTTGGCGCCCAGCATCATGGTCAAGTTTGCGACGATCGACGTGCCCGCGTGGTGCATCCCGAGCACGAGGATCTGCGACGGAGGTAAAGGCGGCATTCTGCGGTGGGGTGTCTTGTCCGGAGGGTAGGGAGGCGGCGAGGGCGGCGGCGACGGCGGCGGCTCCGACGGAGGAGAGATTGGTGGCGCGGCCGGTGGCGCCGCTGGTGTGCCGCATACGCCCTGCAGGAAGAAGAGGATCACAATGCCAACTCGGAGAGCACGCGTGCTGGAAAGCAAGGGTACGGAGATCGCTGCGTGGCTGCGGCCCTCCACCCTCGTCTTCTTGACCAGCGGCTCAAGGCACGCCGCGAGGAGCAGCGCCAGCACGGCCGCACAAGGGTGGAGAAAGAGCAGCGAGGCCGCATCGATCTCTGAGAGGGGCGTGGCGGTCGTGAAGCTCTCCTCGAGTGAGGGGTCGCCGATCTTGGTCGCGCCGGAAGTCTCGTCAAATGGGGCGAACTCGGCGTAGGCTCCGATATTGAGCGTGGAGGTAGGCGGGTAGGTCTTACCGATCTCGGTCTCGATCTTGGAGTGGGCCGTGGCGGTCTTGAGGCTCGTCTCGCTGCTCGTGGAGCCCGAGGCCTTGATCGGAGCCTCAGAGACGCAGAGCGGCAGCGGCTCCGCGCACCACACAGGGGCGGCGCCGCCGCCGCACGTGAGACCGACGGAGTAGGCGGTGGTGTCGGCGAGCGAGACGTCGCAAGTCCTGACCGCGCCGGTGGTCTCGCCAAAGGAGGCGAGCTCGGCGTCGGCCGCGGCGCCGATGGGCTTGAGGGTGGACGGGGCGGCGGCGCGCGAGGCGGCGCCGCTGAACTTGGAGAGATAGGCCGGGATGGAGAAGGTTGGATGGAAGGTGCCGACGTCCGGACAGGCACCGAACAGCGCCCCCCCACCCCCGAGGACGTCTTGGTGGAGCAGGAGCCCCGCGGCCTTGTTGGGTTTGCGAGAGGCAGACGCCGCGAGGGCGGGTGCCGGCGCGTCGGTCGGGAGCTTGATGCTGAAGTCGGTGCGGTTGCGCGTGTCGATGAGTGTCCCCCCGCGCCGCGACCGGGGGCGAGAGGCGGCGGTTGAGGGCGTCGCGAGAAGAGCGAGGGCGAGCATGGCGGCGTGCAGCCAGATGTACCCCCTCCGCCTACCAGATGCACCCCCCGAAAAGAAAAACCACCGTCGTGGTGTTTTTTCTTTGTTCATGGTCCGCGCCACGCATGCCAGTACCGCTCCACTGCAGCCTCGCGAACGTCGCGCACAGATCCAGGAGGCTGCTCACCAGGCAGCAGAGTGCTGCACCGGCGTGCAGCGGGCGCTGTGGCGCTGCGGCGCCGCCTCCCCGCCCTGCCCATGGAGCAGACGCGCGGCAGCACGGCCCTCCACCAGCTGCAGGAGGTGCGCACTTCCCAGTGGAAGCACAGGATGCTCCCTCAGCACACGCAGCTTTGCGCAGCGCAGCGCACGGGCTACGCCACGCAAAGCCGACCCTCAGTCTGCCCGAGAGGCTGTCTGCGGAAGGCCTGGCAAGCGCGCACTCGCCTCCTCCGCGGCCATGCCCTCCGCGCGGGCGAGCGAGCAAGGCGAGAAGGGAGGTGAATCGAGGGGAGTGTTTTTTCTTTTCCGCGATGGCCGCTCGGGTGGCCGCTCTCCTCCTCGTCCTGGCGGCATCGCATCCTCGCCCGTCCGCGCCGCTGACGATCCGCGCCATCCGCCACGCGCCGCGCGTCCCGACGATCCACCTCGCGGCGCCAGGCGTTGGTCGCGCGGGCGACGGCGGCGAGGACGAGCTCTGGCCACCGCCTTCGCTGCGCGGTCCCGCGGGGCCCTCCGAGAGGGCAGCAATGCCGCTGTCGTCGTCGACGCCGCGACGAGGTGCGGCTGGCGAGCCTGCGGCGGCCGCCGCTGCGGGCGACGAGGCGGTGGGTGCCTCGGAGGAAGACGCGCAGGAGGCGGCGTCGCTGATGGCAAGGGCTAAGGCGGAGGCGGAAGCGGCGGCGGCGGCGGAGGCGGCGGCGGCTGCCGCGGCGGCGAAGGCGGCGGCGGCGGCGGCGGCGGCGGACGGGGCGGCCGAGGCGGCGGTCGACGACCTAGTTGCGGTCGTGTCTGAGGCTGCGGCCGGCGCAGGCGCGGCTTGTCGCCTCTGTTCGGCGGTAGGGCGGAGCCGGAGCCTTCCCTGATGCTGCGCCGGACTGTCCTCAGGCGCTGCGCCCCTGTCGGCGGCGGAGGAGGCGGCGGAGGTGGCGGCGGCGGCGGCGGCCGTGCGGCGCGCAGAGGCGGCCTCGGCACAGTGGGCGGCCCAGGCGGGCGCGTCGGCGGCGTCGGGCGGTCGGCAGGGCGGCGGCGGCGCGGGCGGCGGCGGGTCGGGCTACTTGCTGCGCGACGAGTCGGAGGACGAGCGCGCGGCGGCGGCGGCGGAGGCGGGCGCGGCGGCGGCGGCGGCGTCGGGCAGCCGTGCGGGCGGCAGCGGAGGCGGGGATGGAGCCAGTCGGGGGCCGGGCTACCGGAGCCTTCTCGGAACCTGCTCGGAACCTTCCTGCAGGCGGGTGGAGCCTGTCGGACCGGTCTCCGTACGAGGCGATGTGGGAGCGGCTCGACTGCGGCTTGCAGGCGGGTTAGCTGCGAGGGGAGAGGGGGGGTTGAGGCGCGTGCGTGCGGGAGGGAGGGAGGCAGGAGGGGCCCTGCAATGGCAGCAGAGGGAGGCAGGGAGGGAGGGAGGGAGGAGGGGGGGGAGGGGGGGGGGGGTAGAAGAGAGACACGGGAGGTCCTCGGCTCACGCCTTGCCCAGCTGCCGAGCTGCTCTCGCCGTGTCTGCGTCGCCGCAGGAGAACGCGACGCAGATCTTTCGGCGGCGGAAGAGGCTGGTGCTGCGCGCGCTGGTCGCCCTGCACTCCGACTTTTGGGCGAGCCAAGATAGCGATCTCGGGGACGTGGATACGCTCGGGCGGACGCGCGACACGCCCGCGACACGCCCACGACATGTCCACGACACGTCCACGACACGTCCACGACACGTCCACGACACGCCCACGACACCGCCACGACACGCCCACGACATGTCCACGACACGCCCGCGACACGCCCGCGACACGCCCGCGACACGCCCACGACATGTCCACGACACGTCCCTCAGGCCGACGCGCCACGCGAGCTGTACGCGGAGAGCTTCGTCGCGAACGGCCCCCTCGGCACCACGCGCGGAGTGCCCGACTACGACGGCCCTCCGCCTAACTAGAGACCCCTCTCCGAGACAACCCCTCTCCGACACATGGCGCCCCCGACTGAGACGCGGCCCCCACTCTGCTGGTCCGTGGTTGCCGGGCGGATCGCGGCGCCTCGCTGCGCGTTGCATTCCTCTCGGCTCCCCTCGGCTCCCCTCGGCTCCCCCAGGCTCCCCTCGGCCCCCCTCGGTTCACGGCGCCTCGCTGCGCCTGGCAGGCGCCGCCGACGTGCTCGGCCGCGCGTGGCTTCCCGGCGCAGCGATCAGCTGCACCGCGACGACGCAGCCGGCCGACGACGTCGCGTGCGTCTACTGGTCCCTCCGCTTCACCCTCGCGGCGCTGCCGTGGCGGCCGAGCGTCTGTTGGACGGGCATGTCGCGCTTCGAGCTCGACCAGGCCTCGGCCCGCGAAGACCGCGGCAGGAGGACCCGTGCTTCTCTCTGAGTGACTGATGAGTTGTGCCGCCAGGCCTCGGCCGCGATACTGCGGCAAGAGGACTTTTGGGACTCGGTGCACCTGCGGCGCGGCGCCTACCGCAGGAGGCAGAGTCCCGGAGATTCCACGAGATTCACCTAGACTCCTTGCGATTCCGTCGGTGCCTACCGCAAGATTCCCGACGATTCCATGACATTTCCCACGATTCCGTGAGACTCGCCCAGACTGCTCGACAGTCCGGCGGCGCGCCTGCAGGGCGCGTTGTGGCGCATACCGCAGGGGGGCTCGAGAGATCGATCACCGGAGACCACCACAAGGCTGGAAGTGAGAGCACCTCACCACAGATTGCCCGAGGTTGACTTGAGCTGCGGCGCCGCTGCAGGCGGCCCATCGACCCGATCGCCGCGGCGGCGGACGTCGCGCTCCAGCTCGCGCCCAGCTGGCCATGGAAGCGGCGCACGCCGTCCGAGGCGGGGTTGCCGTTCGAGGTGCTGCGCCGCGCGAGAGGGTACGAGGTGCGGCGCTACCCGCCCTTCTGCACCGCCTCGACCGCGTACGAGCTCCACCCCGCCGGCCTCGCCGTCCTGGCGCGCTACGCGTCCGGCCGCAACGTTGCGTCGGCCCCAATCAACTGCACGCTGCCGCTGCTGCTCAAGCTGCCCGCCGGCGGCGAGGGCGGCGGCGTCTACCTCTCGCCGGGGGACGTGGCCACCGCCGGCGCCGCGACAGAGCTCCAGCAGCCAGTTTGAGATCACCCGGGCTTACCCGAGATTGCACCGAGATTATCAGGCGCAGCCACCGGGATCTGGCTGCCTCGCGACGCCGTCGAGGCGGAGCTGGCGGCGCCGAGCGCTGCGAGGCCAAAAGCGATGGCCGCCGTCCTCGGCGGCGACGCCAGCCCGCTCGGCGCGATGGCGGGCACGGCGTACGCCCCTCCCTCTGGCGGGTGGGCTGCGGCGACGCCCGACGCGACAAGCGGCGGCGGGCCCGCTGCCGGCGACACCGGTAGCCTTGTCGACGACCCTTCTTGCTTTCCGCCGCCGCTGCCGCTCGACGGAATAACCATAGCGAAGTTCCCGTCATTCGTCGTCGCCGTGGCGCCCGTCGATGGCGATTGGGCGGAGGAGCGCGCCGTCGAGCGCGCGGCAGAGCTCGCGGCGCTCGCGGCTCGCGACGGGCTTGGCGTCGCCGACGAGCCGCCCCTACTCGCTCAGCACAGGCTGGGCATGGCCGGCGAGCGGCCGAACGAGGTATGGGTCGTTCTGTCCGACCACCCGTTCGACGTCGAGCCGCTCGACGAGCTGATCGAGCCGCCGGAGCCCCAGCCGGAGCCGGCCGAAGATCCTTTCTACGAGGACATTTTTAGAGTTTACTGAAGCCGGTAAAGCCGGCTTCTGGTACTGTCAGTGACTGTGTGAGTGAGAAGTGACGATTTTGTCTTCACTTGTGTGCTTGCTGCTTAAGAGAACTCACTCTCACTCCGAGAGGGGCGGACAAGAGAGCGAGTGCGATCGGGGGTGGCCCATTTCTTTTTCCTTTCTTTTTTGGGGTCCTGTGGGCACCCTACCCGAGGCTCCAGAAACCTAACCCTCAGACTATGGTCGAACCCCTTTCTTTGGATACCTTTTTCTTTGGATACCCTCCCTCTGACCTCCTCTACCTACCCATCCACCAACATCGCCGTTCCTCGGAACACAATCTGCATCGCTGGGGCGGTGCGTGCGGGAGTTGGTTTGTCGGGAGGGAGCGGGGCAGGCTGCTCACCCACGCACGTGCACCGGGCCAGTGCTTGCACTTTTAAAGCCGTGGGGCTCCTGCCCGTGTCCGGGTGTGGAGATGCGAGGGTCGCCCCCCCCCCCCCGCCCCCCCCCGCCCCACCACTTTGTGTGTGTGGAGAAATCATATCAAACCTTACCTTACTTGGAGTGCAGTCGGAGGTTCAAGTATTGACACGTCGTACGTGTCAACAACTGCCGCGCGTGGCACGACGATGGTGTTCGCCACCACCCACCTACTCAAAGAGCGCACGACCGCGCGGCTCGCACCTGTGGCACGCTTCGTTGAGCCCGCCTGCGTGCGGAGCCACGGCGCCGGCGGGTCGAGCGGCATTCTGCTGTCGGGCATTCTGATGGCCGTCGTCGCATCACAGGGGCCCTACTACCTCCGCCTGGCAAACGCGAGTGTCCGCGGCCTGTCGGCGCAGGGCTGGAAGATCGAATGGCGGTACCTGCTGTACGACGCCGTCGACTCAGTTCCCGCAGCGTGGGCTGAACTCGGGATAGAGCTCAACAGCCTTCCCGGAGTGACCTTCTCTGCGGCCGCGCGAGGACTGCCCGGACCAAAGCGCTTCCGGCCAAAGCTGCAGTTCCAGCAGGAGCTCGTCGAGTACCTTCGGGGCCGGCACGATATCCGGCACGTGTGGCTTGCGGACTCCGACATCTCCTTCGCAAGCTTCGAGCTGGACCGATATCTCCGGCTGCTGCACTGCTCCTTCTCGCACGCCGGCAAAATTGGCCACACTCCTGTCATCTCGCAGCCCTCCATCTCGAGCCGGTTCAGCGACGAGAGGCAGGCATTCTGGCCGTTCAACCAGGATAGGTGGCGCACCTGGCTCCTCGGCACCGCTGCGATCGCCGTGCCGATGGTTGAGCAGCAGGAGCGCGCTCCTTGCTTCACGCGTCTCTCGCCCCACTCCGCCGACGCGCCATCAACCCAACATCGCACCATGACGCAGCGCCCCGACGCAGCCACTCGCTCCCCGTCCGCTGCTCAGGCGCCGCTCCTCGACGCTAACTTCTTCGTGTGGCTGATGCACAAGGAGCCGACTTGAGCATTGCGGAAAATCACACGTGACGATGTGATTTGCGCCACACCGCGCCATAGGTGAACGGCACCCTGCCGCCACCCGGCCAGCCCTACGTGTGGGAGATCCACGGGCCTCTGTGGGCAGTGCAAGATACGGTGGGCTCTGACTGGGGTCTCGACTCCTACTGGTGCAACGCAGCAGCCCAATACGCCGCGGAGATGGGCCAGCCGGACCGCATTCCGTGCGCCGTCGTCGGGGTGCCAATCGAGCACCTCTCCAGCGCCTCCATCCGGCGGCTGATTCGTACCAACGAGCCGGCGCAAGGCAGAGTGGTCGAGTGGATCGGAGCCAAGGGCACCGTCGAGAAGGGCAACACGAAAGACCACGACTCGGGAGCGATGAGCCACATCGACTACACGAGCACCTTCATGAATGCCGGCCACTCGATGCTGGCGTGGATGACGAAGCGGTGGAGTGCCCCGCGAGCGAGCCCCGGAGCCCCTCAGCGTCAGACGAGGCACTCATGCGTTGCTCCCGCCGCCCCACCGCGCCCCGTCCGCCAGGTACCCCTCGTGGCAAAGCACTCGCGACAAGACCAGTTGGGGAGCCTACCGCGGGCTCATGGAGCCGACGTCCCTCGGGATCCGCGAGTCGGCAAACTATGTCGCGAATACAACATACCGGATCGATCGATCGTTCAGGGCATACGACTCGGACGCGTGCACGCTCGGAGCAGGCGCCCCCACTCGCAAACTCGCGATCGAGCCCCGTGTGTGCTCCGCCCCTGGCGCTGACGGCGATAGTCCTACTTAGGCGACGCGCCGCAGCTGGTTGACGTCCACGCGTCGAGAAGCATCGGGGTCACCTCGCTTTCCGAAATGCAAGCTGTGACGGCACTCTCCCTGCTCTCTCTCCTGGAAGCTTGCGCCCAGCAGCGCCGCGTCAACCACCCCGCCCGAGCCGCCCGGCTGCAGCTAGTGAAGGGGGCGCGAGCTCGACTGATGAACGCGACGGCGGCCCTCCAGCAGAGGCTGGACAGGTATGGGACCCGCGCAGGGGCTGTGCCGATACATCGGCATGAGCGGTGCGGCAGCTGTTGGGAGCCCTGCATGCTGGACGAGCGCTGTAGTGGCAAGGGACCCGACCGCTGGGGTGGCCTCGGCTGTGTCAGCAAGGAGTGCCGCCTCTGCGGCTTTCACCCATACCCGGCGTGCTTTGACTCGGGCCAAGACGAGGAGGCTGCCCAACGCATGCACTTGCAAGAGCTCAGCCGGATTGAGGAGGCAAAGTATGCGCTCGGGAAAACGGCTCGGCTGAGCCTGGAGAAGCTCGGCTTTGTGCTTCCTCCCGACCCCTCCCCGCCGCCGCCGCCGCCGCTACCACCGCCGCCACCGCCGCCGCCACCGCCGCCCGTGCGCGTGGCTTCCTCGGCGGCATTCGGTCTGCCGAGCCGCGTGCAGGCGTGCCTGGCTATGCCAGAAGGCCACTGGGACAAACGGTGCTTGAACCCGCGGCGCGACCCGAAGCGAGGGCTCGGCTGCAACCTCGGAGGCATCCGAGAGTGTCGACGGGCCACAGTGCTTGACTGACTTCGAGCGAGACTGTGCCTCGACAAATGTCCAATTGTTTCAAGCGCGGCCAGTCGGACGCGCGGACACGTTGAGCCTGAACAGGGTCTCACTGTGCGGCCGACTGCACGCTAAAGGCTACACGCTCGCACACCACTTGCAGAGTGGCTCTCCCGGGCGCTCAGCCCACGGCGGAGGCACGCCAGGCCCCGGGCAGCCGGCCGTCACTCGCCTAAGCGCCTAAGCGGCCTAAGGGGGGGGGGTGCTTAGGGTGCTTAGGCGCTTAGGCGGCCCTTGCGAGCGTGGCGGCGTGGTGGTATCGTAATACAAGTGACTCCGATGACACACATGATGCTCTTGCTAGTGTCATTGCTCAGAGAGCAGCCTCACCGCGTCGAAAGTCTACCACTGGCCCTGGTCGCACACCGCCGCTGAGCTGTGATGATGCCCACAGCACCAGCAGCAAAGGCGGGCGGGCCGACCCCGCGGCCATCGCCGCCGCTGCCGCCTCCTCCGCCGCCGGCGCCGCCCCCTCTGCCGTCGCCGTCACCTTGGGCTGCATCACCCGCGCCGCCGCCGCGCACCGGCTCGTGCTCATTCAAAGGCGCCTCGAGTTGCAGGCCAGCGGCGCTGACGTTGTCGTGGTCGGGCTGCCCAACGTCGGCGCGGGAGGGAGGGGGCAACGCCGTTATGAAGAGCGCGAGAGCGAGCGCCGACGGCCCAGATTCTGAGCAGCAGCCCGCCTGGTCATGGGCCACTTGCCACGTGCGTCCAGCTTCCACTATCTCTTAGTGCCGGCCAGAAGATCCGCCCGAGGATCTTCGGCGCAGGGCGCCGTCACCGGCCCCATGAGCCGCCTGCGAGGCCATTCAGTGCTCATGTGGCACGGCCTGAGCAGGCCTAGCAATGCCTCGGGCCGACCGGCGCCCAGAATTGTTGGTGTTGGCCAGCAACGTGGCCGGCGAGTGCCGTCGTTGCATTGGTGGCGACCACCGCAGAAGCGGTCAGCAGGTGGGAAGGCATCGCTCTCTTTGTAAGGATATTGTCCGTATTCATTGTCTGGTCAATACTTCTGCCTGGATGGCACCTGTGTGTCCAACATGGCGACCCTCGGCCTCCCTCGTGAGTCCACACCTCACGCTGATCATTCTCGTCGCTAGCTCAAGCCGAGAAGTGGTCCACCGACACCATGAGGAGCGCAACCATCATGGCTGCAGCCTCAGACTGACCGGGTTAGGTCATATTACCGGCGTGGTGGCCCAGAAGCGCGACATTTGCTGCCCGCAGAGCGCTAGCAGCCCACTCTCCGGCACGTCTGTGCGTCGTGCGGGGCTGAACTTCAGGCACGCTGCACGCGGCTTATCGTCGAGAAGAGCTCAACCCCGGCCAGTGAGTGATGGATCTGATCATAATCAATCCCTACTGTACTGGGGGGCTCTCAGATCAGCCGTTCAGAGCTCTGATATTGGTTCCCGGCAGAAGATCCTCCAGAGGATCTTCTGCCGTCGGCCAAAAAACCGTGTTCAAACGAGACACAATGACCCAACAATGACCCCCACGGCCAGCCTGGACATGCAGCCGACCCGGCCTGGCCAGCTGGGCCATCGGGGCGGCCGCCATCGGCCGTAGGACCGCGCTGCGGTGCCGAAAGGGGCTGGAAGATCCGCCAGCGCCTCTTCGGCACTTAAGAGATAGGACGAACGTCGAAGTTTGCTCTCCGACGCCGTGCCGAGCGAAACCTTTTCCTTCGAAGCCCGGCGACGTAGCCGGGCGAGCGGAATAGGGCAGCCCTAGAGAGCACCTTGAGGCCATTCAATAGAGCCCGTACTATAGTCGAGAGTCGATCGCCGGCCCGCGCAGTGCTGCTCTGACCGCTCCGCCGGGCCGCCTCCGGGGGCCGCCGCGGCGGAGACGTGCACATAGGCAAGTTGGTATTTTCATATATGAACTTCAAAATAGTATTGGCTAGTCTAATTCTACTCATCACAACTCGCCAGGAACACCCACACACTATAGGGTCATTGTGTAGCCCTGCTTAGAAGGAAAAGGTTTTCTGCAAGGTCCGTATGGCTTACCGTGTAGTCGGCCGTGCACACCATGTACCACTGTTGGGGCGCCGCGCGTGTCTCGGGGCACGGACCACCGGGCCGTGCGCGCGTCGGGCTCCTGGCGCTGGGCCCGCGCCCAGCCGGGCTGGGCTCGTCGCCACACGCACACCCCGCACACGGCCAAGCGCGGGCGGAGTCAGAACACGAGACGGCAGCCGCGCGGGCGCACGCCGGGCCAGGGGGTTGCGGCACTTCTTCAACTTCGGTGCATGCATGTATTACTACCCACGTATTAAGCGATATCACATGCCAGCAAGGACGGACAGACGAACAGAGAGTCGGAGTCGAGACAGAGAGGCGCAATCTAGAAGCGCAGAAGGGAAAAGAGGAGGCGTCAACAGTGCAGCAGAGGCGGGACGGCGGCGCCGTTAGTTGTACCCGTAGAGCTTTAGCCGGGACTTGATCTTGTCCACCTCTTTTCCGGTTAATTTCCGCCCCGTAGCTGCCTCCTTCTCCGCCACCTCCTCTGCGAGCACCTCCTTGAGGCTGGCCTCGACCATCATAACCGGCTCGACGGGCTCCGCAACGGCAGCCATTCCTGGTAGCGGCGTGTCCCGGCGCTCGCCAACGGGCTGCGAAATGCTCGAGATGCCTGCTGCATCGCGCACGGCAGAGCGAGCCGCGGCCGCCGTGTCGACGGCGCTCTGCGTGAAGCGTGCATGCGCAACAAATGGCTGAAGCGCGAGTGCCGCCGCGGCGGCACGCCGCGTGGATAATTTAAGGTGCAGCGCGCCGCATGGAGCCGCCGCGCAGAGCAGCACAGCGAGCTGCACTCCGATATGCTTCATGAAGAGCTAGCGAGCAAAAGAATTCTTCGAGGCCGTGTGCCCGGGCTTCCCACTTAGTTCATACCCGAGCGAGAATCGGCGAGGGACTGCGAAGAGAGATAGGAAGAGGCTGCAGACGCCCAAGGGTGGGCGACGGCTAGCACCACCACACTGCTGCTGCTGCTGCTGCTGTTACCTCCGGTCCACACGGGTACTCCCGTGCTAGGACAACAAGGCCCCACGGTACACGGCGTCTCCACACTAGGCGAGTCACACATGTGTCGTGATTGGGATCAAAGCGCTGACTGAGAGTCATGAATGAATGTATGTATGTGTATGTTATGTGAGACGCTCCCGGCGGAGCGACTCATTCATCTTGGCTTGGGTCTGCTGCGCGCTGCTCCGGGGGAGCTTTGTGCGCGACAGGGGCTTGGCCTGCGGCGGTGGAGCCGGCGGCCAAAAGGCTGGCGGGGCAACGCCCGTCCGCAAGGTCTCGCGCCATGCGCTGCGGGCCGTACGTCATGGACGGCGAGCCTATCGGGCGGCGATGGGGCACCCACGCCGAGAGCAAGCGGCGAGGGAGCCTCGTCTCGTAAGGCATGCGGCTGACGTGGTGACGTGTCCAAGCCACCGGAGCTGCCGGCGAGCGATGTAGAACTCGATGGAGTCCAACCCCAGCCGCTGTCCCAGCTCTTGGGTCGAGATGTGATGCTCCCACGCCTGGCTGCGCGACACCCGGCACATTGCTCGTAAGTGATGGGCATGCATGCAGCGCAGCCGCCGGTACAGCTCCTCGGTCAAACTCCACGTCTCGCAGCCGTAGAGGACGGTCGAGATAACGATCGCCTCGTAGACCGCCTTTTTGGCTTTGTTGGAAATGGATGTGGAGGCGAAGACGCAGGCGCGCAGGGCGCCAAATACCTTGCCACCCGACTCGACGCGGGCGTCGACCGCTGCTGCGTCGTCGCCGTCGCTCGAGACGATGTCGCCGAGGTACGGGAAGCGATCTACCACCTCCATGGCGACGGCTAGCACCACCACACTCCTCTCCTAAAAATCCCTGTGTGAGCGCAGCAAAACCTGAGAGAGAGATTTTTAGCAATACCAAACAACTCTAACACTCACACGTCAAAACCTGTGTGGTGGCGGCGTGCCGCCCTCCCATCCCTCCCTTAATTTGTGCTGTCGGCGGCGAGTGCTATCATCAAAAAGATGATGCTCATCATCTGTGGCAGGCGTGAACAGTCGAACCGGGTGTCAGTGCACAGTCAGCCCACTGACTGCCCACGGCGACGCGGCACCAGGGCACGAATTCTTTTACTGCCCAGTGTAGCAGTGTTGTGCGCGAGGGTGTAAGGTGCCTATATGGGCTTCCAGTATCGGACCTTCAAGACATGCGCTTTTGGCCGGTGGCCTCCTCGGACAGAGGGGGCGCCAGAAAGAAAGAAAACAGAGGGGGTCGCGAATTCTTTTATTTAAGCGCCATGTCCGAGACTCGTGGTCGCGTCCAGTCCCGACTTTTGCCTCGACCTTGAGCCTCGACCTTTCCAACATGGAAGCCATGAAGGAGGACTTCGTCGTCGTCGACCCCACGCCCGTGCCGTCGCCGATCTCCATCTCTTGCTCCGCCGAGCACGCCCAGCTGGCCGCCGGCGAGGCGCACCAGTCGCTTGCGCTCGTGTCCCTCGCCGCTTCCGCCCATGCGCCGGCGGCTCGACTTCCTCTCGAGGTGGTCGCCGTCGTCGACCGCTCGGGCTCCATGCACGGTGCAAAGATGAGGACGATGATTCAGACGCTCTCCTTCCTCGTGACCAAGGGGCTGCTCCCGGGCGACTCGCTCGCGATAGTCGATTTCCACGATACGGTCGAGACGCGGCTCGCGCTCACAAAGATGGACCAGGCAGGCAAGGCGAAGGCCCTCGACAGGATTGGTGAGCTCTCGCCCGGCCGCACCACCAACCTTAGCGGCGGGCTCCTGCAGGGCATCGACCTGCTGGTGCGGTCGCCGCCCGCCCGCAGCAGCACCAGGGCGATTCTGCTGTTCACAGATGGCCTTGCCAATGCCGGCATCTGCGACGGCCCCGGGCTGGTTGCGGCCGCACAGGGCGCGATGGGTGACGCGCCGGCGACGATCTTTACCTTTGGCTTTGGTGCGGACCACAACGAGGACATGCTCCGCTCGCTCGCGAGCGTCACAACGGGCCTCTACTACTTCATCGAGACGGTGGAGGCGATCCCGCAGGCGTTCGCGGACTGCCTCGGCGGGCTGGTCGCGGTGGTCGCGCAGAACTGCACGCTCTCTCTGACCGCCGCGCCCGGCGTCGAGCTCTCCGGCTTGAAAACGAGCTACAAGACGAGCGCGACTGCGGACGGCGGGGTCGAGGTGAGCCTCGGCGACATTTACGCCGAGGAGGAGAAGGACCTGGTCGTGCAGCTGGCGCTGCCCGCCCTCCCAGGGCCGGTCGGCGCCGCGGCGTGCCTCAAGGCCGCCCTCCGCTTCTACTCGGTGCCGGCCTCGGCGTTCGTCGACTGCGAGGCGGTCCTCAGCATCGGTCGGCCGGCGGCGGCGCCGGCAGAGCAGCCCGTCAACGGCCGACTCGAGACGCAGAGGCTGCGGCTGGCCGCCGTTGAGGCGATGGCCAAGGCCGCTAGCCTGGCCGACGAGGGGCGAATTGAGGAGGGGCGGGCGATGCTGGAGCAGTGCCGCGTCACGTCTCTGGCGTCGGTCGCCAGTGCGACGGCCGAGTGCAAGGCGCTCCTCTCGGATCTCGAGCGCGTCGCATCGGGCTACAAGGACGCGGTGCAGTACCGCTCGTGGGGCGGTAAGCTGAGCAAGATGTCGGCCATGTCGCACGCGCAGCAGCGCTCCAACCACGCCACGGGCGGCCACTTCGAGAAGGCGTCCAAGCGGCTGACAAAGATGCGCTTCGCCGAGTGAAGGTGTGTTTGGCTGTGGTCCGTGGACGCGCACAGGGGTCGCGCGCTCTCACGTGGCCCCTGCGCGCAATCGCAATCGCAAAGGGGCTACACATATGCGCGCGGGCTCGGAAGGCCAGATAGAGGCCATCGTTTGTGTGTGTGTGTCTGAGCGTGACGCGAGAGAAAACGCGAGGCTCTATATGGCGGTGGGTGTGTGAGAGAGCGGAAGACTGGCCGCGCGGAGAATCGCAGTGTGAGAGAAAAGCACGAGAACCAGCGCCCCGGCCTCGCTAAAAAGGACTTTCCATTTATCAACGGGCCTTCACATAAACGCACAACCCTTCACGCACACGGCCTCCCAGGCCAACTGTAGACAGCCTCGCGGCCGCCGAGCCCCGCCGCCTTCCACAGCTTCTCGTTGTCCTTCCAGTCGCCGGCGCCCGGCAGGCCGAGCTTAACGGCACCAGCCACCTTCGAGTCGGCCGCTGCGTCCATGGCGTTGCCCGCGCCACTGACGGTCCACGGGAGGGGCGAGGCGTCGTAGTGATTGTAGATCAGCACCGACTGCGCAACTTCGCGCTGCAGGCGGCCGTTGATGGCGCCCATGCCAATATCTGAGATGTCGTAGCCAAATGGGTTCTGCAGCTCGGCGGAGATCTCGTCAATCTTCGAGACAAAGAAGGAGAGCATGCCGCACATCGGGATGGTGGCGATCTGGAGGGTCGGCATCAGGACAAAGGGGATCGCGCCGCACCAGATAACACTCGAGGTTTTCATGAGAGAGGTGTAAGAGTAGGGCTCGGGCGCGAGCTGCACGCGCTGGCACACGGAGTGCGCCAGCTGCATCTTCTCGACCGAGGCGTGGAGTGCGATCAGCGCGCGGATGTTGGTGATGGTGCCGCGGTCGAATGCGACGCGAAGCATCGCCGTCAGCTGCTGCAGCACAAAGACGGGCTGGCTGCCGGCCTGCACGAGAGCCTCCACGCGCCAGCGCTGCTCCCTCTCGCCCAGCAGGAAGGCCAGCGCCTCGTCCGTTTCAGAGGCTGTGACCTGCCCGTCTGGGGCCTCGACCGGTGCCTGGGAGTCACCGCGCGAGGCGGCCGACGGCGCGTGCCGCAGCAGCAGGTGCTCGTACATAGCACGCGACTCCTCCCCCGTCGCTTTGCGCATCTCCGCCTCGGTTGCGCGGCACATTGCGTACGCCCACAGGCACACCTCGGTGCTGGCGGCCTTATCCGTAAAGTAGAGCTGCGTCAAGTGGGTGAGGCAGCTGATCTGGGCGCACACGTCGGAGAACGCCGTGACGCCATCGGTGTAGTACTTGATCGCTGTGTTGAGGCGAAGCGAGAGCAGGAGGAAGAGAGCAGTGGAATAGACGCTGAACGCCGAGATGAGCGAGCCCTGGTGGGCGTTCAGGTAGTTCATCATCGCCTGAAAGCGGCGTGGGACTCTGGCTAAGGGGGACGACACCATGCGCCCTGCCTCATGCCAGCCCAACTCGCCTCAAAGAGCGGATGCTGCAAATGTGGCAGCAGCGCGGCGTGAGCCTCCGGAGTCAGCACCTCACCCAGCCGGTCCCTCCACTCAAAGAGGCAGTAGGGCGTGACGAAGAGCGCCGTGAAGGCTGTCCAGCGCAGAGAGGCGCTGACGGCGATCGGACTCGTCCGAAAAGTCTGCAGGAGAATGGTGGCCCAGTTGTAGCGGTTCTCATGTGTGCGCTGTGCAACGACGTCGCGCACGACAAGCCACTGCGAATGGCCCGCGCGGTGGTGTGCGGCGTACCGAGCCTCATAGTTGAGCCTATTCGTATGATTAGGAGTGGAGATACGCTGTTTCATCATCACACCGCACCGCCCTCGCCGTTGGGGGCCAGTTGTGATCGGAGAGTGTGTCCTGAAGCGCCGCCGGCACTGGGTGGCAGAACCGGCCCCGCAGGTCGCGGATGGTTGAGAGTCGGCGGACCAGTCTGGCGTTCATGCGCATCATCGGTGCAACGAATTCTGCGGTTGTTGCCGGTACCACCTCTGGAAGTCTAAAGAGGACGGTCGATGTAGCCAGCTGGGGGCGCGTGAAGCGCACTGGGGGATGTCGACCGAGGTTTGTTTTCTTTCTTTTTCTGTCTTTCTGGGGTGGACGAGGACAGTGCGAGTTACGTGAAAACCCAGCGGTTACTTACTGGCAAACATACCTACAAGCGGCGTACAATGTTCGACGTCGTCGAACGCAATTGCGTGGGGAATGACCGTAGCTCCTCTCCCCGAGCGATTCAGACGACGTACCAAGTGTCGATTCTGTATAAAATTGCGAGGCGCACACTGGTGCAGGCGGCGAGTCGTCGATCCGACTCGTTCGACGTTCCGCCGTGAAGTCGCCGTGAAGGGTTGGGAAACAGACAAGCGAAGGTTAGGTTAGGTAGAACGGCGAAGAACAGTCTGGCTCGGACTGGACACTTCGCGGATCGGGACAGGACGCTAAAAAAAGAAAGCGCGACACTGGTGAGCAAGACAGCATGTCGTCGGCCCGTGTTGCCGCTGACCAGTTCCTCGCCAGCCTTGGCGGGGCGCCGCCGCCGCAGCAGCCGCCCGGTGGTGGGCAGAGCCGCGACATTAGAGCCACAATCGCCGCAACGGCAGCGCGCATCTCGGCGCAGGCCGCTTCGCGTGCACAGGCGGGTGTGCCGCCGCCGCAGCACCCCCCACTCGCGCCCCCGCACATGATGGGCGGCAGTGGACGGGGCGGCGGCATGAGCCCGATGGGTGCCGGTTGGGGCGGGCGCGGCGCGGGCGGCTGCGGTGGCGGCGGCGGCGCGGGCAGCATGGGTGGCGGCTGGGGGCCTCCGCAGCCGGTCCCTCCGCCCGGCGGTGGCGGCGGCTGGGGCGGCGGCGGCGGCGGCGGTCGGCCCCCGATGCCGCCACCGCCCGGTCCCGGCCAGCCTCCGTTTGGCCAGTCGCCCTTTTCTGACGCGTCGGTCGGGCTGCGCGCGTCAAGCTCGCTGCCGCCGCCGCCGCCCTCGCTAGCTCGGCCGGGAGGGGGCGGGCTAGCCGCCTCCTCCGCGGCGGTTCCGCCGCTCCTCGCCGCGCAGGCGGCTGCAGATGGCCGACCTCCAGCGGAGATGCAGGCCACCGCCAGCAGTGCTGTTGCTCCCTCTCGCCTCCCTCGCCCGCTTCCCTCACCCCCTCCTCCCCTCCCCCCCCCTCCCCCCTCCCTCACCCGTCCCCCTCACCCGCCCCCCTCACCCCCTCCGTCACCCCCCCTCTCACCCCCTCCCTTCCCCCACCCCTCCCTCACCCCCTCCCTCCCCCGCCGTCGCACAGAGCGCCGCCGCCGCAGCGGCAGCCAAGCCGCGTCTCACGCCAGAGGAGCAGAAGCGCGCAGACGAGGCGAGAGAGAAGGAGCGGCGCAAGCGCAAGGAGCAGGAGGCGCGAGACAGGGAGCGGAGGGAGCAGGAGGCCAAGGCGCGTGCCAAGCGACTCGAACGCATACCGCCCTCAGCAGACGGCGCGGAGAAGCGGCTGTCCGTCGAGGCGAGAGACGGCCGAGAGACCGCCGAGAGACCGCCGAGAGACGGCCGAGAGATGTAGCCGAGAGACCGCCGAGAGACCGCCGAGAGATGCAGCCGAGAGACCGCCGAGAGACGGCCGAGAGATCGCCGAGAGACGGCCGAGAGAGAGCCGAGAGACCGCCGAGAGAGAGAGAGAGCCGAGAGACCGCCGAGAGATGTAGCCGAGAGACCGCCGAGAGACCGCCGAGAGAGAGAGAGAGCCGAGAGAGACAGCCGAGAGAGAGCCGAGAGATGCAGCCGAGAGACCGCCGAGAGATAGCCGAGAGATCGCCGAGAGATCGCCGAGAGATCGCCGAGAGACGGCCGAGAGAGAGCCGAGAGACCGCCGAGAGAGAGAGAGAGCCGAGAGAGAGCCAAGAGATGTCGCCTCCTCACGCCCTGCCGGCTGATCTCGCGCCATCTGCGCCATGGGTCCTCTCGGGTCCTCTCGGGTCATCTCGGGCCATCTCGGGTGATCTCGGGTCATCTCGGGTGATCTCGGGTCATCTCGCGCCATCTCGCGCCATCTCGGGTGCGGTGTCGTCTCAGGCGGAGCTCCTCGCGCCCTACCGACTCACCAACCCGCTGCCGCCGCTGCCCGTCGACCCGAAGCTGCTGCACCACGCGCGCGACAAGGAGGCGCTGGTGCGCTTCCGGTACGGGACGCGCATCGTGGCGACGAATAATAATAAAGAGAAGAGGCAGAAGGAGAAGGAGTCCTCATAGGTACGAGACGCCAATCGTGGCCACGCACCCAAACGTGCTCACTCCGGAGCCGGACCTCGGCACCAGCACCTAGCCGAGATCTTCCGAGATGCAGCCGAGATGTGACCTCGGACCCTTCCCCGACCCTTCCCCGACCCTTCCCCGACCCTTCCCCGACCCTTCCCCGACCCTTCCCCGACCCTTCCCCGACCCTGTGTTCTGCGCAGGCATCGCCATCGACTTGGTCGACCCGAGCCTGTACGAGGCGCAGCCCGGCGCCTCCCTCCACCCTGACGACGCAGCGCTCCTCGCCGCCGCCGGCTCGGGCGGCGGCGCGTCGGCCGCGCAGCGCGTCAAGTCGATCCGGCAGGAGGTGACGTGGCTGCGAAAGACTCCGTTGATGGGCAACAACCTCTACGAGGCGGTCGGGTACGGCAAGCACGCAGGGCAGCAGATCGAGCGCAAGGTGGCGGAGCGGCGCGCAAGGTGGCCGTCTCTCTCCCCCTCTCTCCCCACCTCTCCCCCATCTCTCGCAAGGTGGCCGAGGGCGCGCGGCGCGAGTCGCGGGCGCTCGCCGTGAGCGGCGACGCCGACGAGCGGGGCCGCACGCTGCGCCAGATCGTCGAGTCGATCGAGCGCTCCTTCGACGACGCGGAGGCGCTGACGCAGCAGAGTGTCCGCCACCCGACGGACCCGTCCCTCACCGCCGTCTCGGTCCGAGCCCCTCCTCCCGCCGAGTGAAGCGAAGGAAGGAGAGTGCGGACTTCTAGAGATGAGTGCGCCAGGTGCTGCCCGTCCTCCCGGACGCGGACTGCTGGCCGAACGTGTACGTGCAGTGCGGCTTCGACTTTGACCCGGCCCGCGAGTCTAGAAGCGGACTATCTCCCCATATCTCCCCATATCTCCCCATATCTCCCCCATATCTCCCCCATATCTCGAGCCTAGAAGAGGACTACGTCTTCTTGACTCCAGCCAACGCTCGAGGGGACATTCACTCCGCTGTATTCACCCGTATTCCGCTGTACTCACCTGTCCTCTTCTCCGTTGTACTCCACGCGGTGCTCTGAAGACGCTGCACAAGACCGTCTCCCCGCCCTCACGTTGGCGTATTCAGCACGTAGGCCCTCGAGCCCGACTGATTGCTTGATTACTGATTCATAAATTAATCACGTAGGCCCTCGAGGCGGCGGGCGACAGTGCGCCCAAGTTCGCGCGCGGGCGCGTGAAGCGTGCACTCGTGCGCGGTCATGCGACCGCGGAGGCGGCGGGCGAGGCGAAGCGGTCGTACGTCGCGTACTTGCTCCCCAAGGACGGCGAGGGCGGCGAGGGCGGCGAGGGCGGCGGCAGCTCGTCGGGCGACCCCGCGTCCCAGCTGGGCGCGGCGCAGGAGCTGGAGTGGGTGCGCGAGTACGAGTACAAGGCGAAGCCGAAGGCGGAGGGCGAGGCGTACTTCTTCGTCGTCGAGCCCGAGGCGGGCGAGGTACTCTACAACGAGATCACGTCCGAGATCTCGCTCGCGCGAAAGACCTTCCGCACGGTCGCGCAGCGGCCGTCCGAGGTGATGCTCACGCGCCGGCTGCTGGACGAGGACGAGGAGGGCTACGAGGAGCGCGCGACGCGCCGCCAGAAGATCTCGTCCGAGTCGACGCTGCTGCTCACGCATCGGGGCTGAGGCTGGTGGGGGTGGGGGGGGCCGGCCGTCGGCCACGCGGCCCCGGCCCTTGGCCGTACGGCGTTCTGGGCTCCTGCGTAGTGGGGTGCACGGCACTGCACTTGCTGGTCCGCGCATCCCAGTCGTCAGTTTTTGGTGCACACACAATACTCCCACATGAAAGTAAGATCTTCTGAGCTAGTATCTGGGCAGATATAGGAATCTCACACACGCGCCGTGGGGCTCCTGTCGTTAGACGTGGAGACGCGAGGGTTGCCCCCCCTTGCCCCACCACCTCGTGTGTCTGTGTGTGCGAGAAGTTTACCTTACCCCTTACCTTCATCGTACTTCAGGTTCAGCCTATCCCAGGGCAAATGGGGCGCGCCATGGGATGCGCCCGGGCATCCACCAGGCCTCCACCGCCGGTACAACAAGCCATGGCAGCGGCGGAGACGGCAGAGGCAAGGGCGACTTGCACAGCGAGCCCCACGAGTCGTAGTTGGAGGTCGACCAGCTTTTGCTGGAAACATTCCAGAACTTGTTCCCTTTGTTCCATGCGCTTGTCTGCGCGTCGAAGCTGACGTGAATGAGAGCCTTGTTGCAGTCGCTGAGGGAGAACATGTTGGTCATAGTGGTGGCCGTCGACACGTCCCACGAACTGACGTCCTGGTCGAAGGAGGAGGCGTCCCGGAACATGTCGCTCATGTCGGTGGCCGCCGACACGTTCCACGACCCGATGTCCTGGTCGAAGGAGGAGGCGTCGCGGAGCATGCTGTTCATCTCGAGGACGGATGACATATCCCACGACCCGATGTCCTGGTTGAAGGAGGAGGCGCCGTAGAACATGCCACCCATGTCGGTGGCCGCCGACACGTCCCATGAATCGATGTTCTGGTTGAAGGAGGTGGCGCGGTAGAACACGGCACTCATGTCGGTGGCCGCCGACGTATCCCAAGACCGGATGTCCTGGTCGAAGGCGGAGGCGCCGCAGAACATGCCGCGCATGGTGGTTACCGCCGATGTATCCCACGACCCGATATCCTGGTCGAAGGCGGAGGCGCAGAAGAACATGTTGTGCATGGTGGTCACCGACGAAGTATCCCACGACCCGATGTCCTGGTCGAAGGAGGAGGCGTAGGCAAACATGCCCTGCATGGTGGTAACCGCCGACGTGACCCAAGACCCGATGTCCGGGTTGCAGGAGCATCGCAAGCCCTGCTGACAGCGTTCGAACAGGTAGCTCATGTCGGTCACTGCGCTAACGTCCCACCCCGAGATGTGGCCGTACGTCGCAAGGGCGGCCAGCTCGTCGCTGCACCAGAGGATAACCGCGGCCTGCAGCGCGGGCTTGCCGTCAAAGGTGCCTGGCGGCGGAGCCGGCGGCAGCGCTGGTGGCAGGGGCGGAGGCAACAGCACCATGCCCGCAAACTGCATTAGTTCTGTTAGGTGAACTGATATCTCTCGATTGGACTGCACCAGAGCCGCAACATCTGCCTTCGTCCAGGCCTGCTCAATTACGGTTTCATCGATTGAGGTGTCACGTATTGAGGTGTCACGTGCTGCCGCGACCTCGGGTTCTCCGTCATCGAAAAGACTCGGGATGCCAACATCAATCGTAAACCACGATCTCTCCTCTGGAACGACGAGCACCCGTCGGGCCGGGGAGACGCTGAGCGCGGCCAGGAGGAGCAACGCGAGGGCCACACCGACGCACGGGAGGCGAGAGGGAGCCCCGCCGACAGCGCTGATCATCGCTAGTTCGGTTGGAAAGGTCGCTGAACAAGTTCGATCATTCTGTTCGGCGGGTCGCCGGCACCGCCGCCCGGTCATTCCAATAAGACGATTCGTCAACTTGAGGCTTGAGCCGCTTGGATATACACGTACCTCGAGCACAAAAAACGCGCTGATGAGCGAACCGAGCCGCCGGGTGCCCCGCAGCGGCCTCGCTGGGCCAGAAGAACCGGTCCGCGAGTGCTCCGCAGCAACCTCGCTGAGCCAGAACGTCGGCTCGCGAGGTGGGGTGCTATACATCACGCGCAACTCTTCGACATACAGCCATGGCCAGTTCCTCGATCCTCGCCGACAATGTTGTATGTTGCTTTCGACAACGGGATTAACGGGCTGGTGGTCCACAAGACGGATCGCGTCCTCGCGTGAAGAACAACGTGCTGTTTGAGAATGGCAAGGTGAGCAAGAAGAAACCGCAATCCAGACAGCCCCTACGCCGGGCTCGTGGTCACGCACTCGCAGAGCGTGACGCTCAGCAACAACCGAGTCCGCGCGCCATCGGGCGATTTCGCCTACACGCTGACGGGCGGATCGACGCTGGCTCCCCCCGTACCACGTGGTTGTCGCCGCGCCTGCGGC